ATGGCAATTAGCATCCTTATAGATGTAATTCTAGCAACAGGTGAGTAAGTATCAAAATAATCAAGACCTTCTCGTTGCTTGTATCCTTTTACTACAAGCCTAGCCTTATATTTATCAATAGCACCATCCGCTTTCATTTTCCTCTCGAAAATCCACTTACATTGTAGTGGTTTATTACCAGGAGGAAGGTCAACCAATTCCCATGTATGGTTTGACAATATGGATTCAACGTCACTATTGATGGCTTCTTTCCGTAACGGGCTTCGGCGAAGTCACGCCTTCTTTGAATGTCCGAGGCTCATTCTCTAATGTATACGTTAAGAAATCAGTCCAAAAGACGTGGAAGTCCTTTGTCTTTTACTACGTCTAGGTTCATCCTCCATTGGATCACTTCTAGATATAGTATCTCGAGGCCTCTTGTTATTATCAATTGGCTCATATACTATGTTATACGGAAATATATTTTCAAAGAACGAAACGTCCCTTGATTCAATAATCGTATTAACATGTATATCTGGGATCTCTGACTTGTGAACAAGAAAACGATATGCATTGCTATTCTGAGCATATCCAATAAAGACACAGTCAACAGTCTTTGGTCCTATCTTAACCTTTTTAGGCTTAGGAACCGCAACTTTAGCCAAACACCCCCACACTTTGAGATAATTCAAGTTAGGCATTCTGCCTTTCCATTTCTCATAAGGAGTTTGTTTGTGTCTTTCTCGTGGGGTACTCTATTTAAAATAAAATTCGCCGTCAAAACAGCTTCCCCCACAAATTCCGTGGTAAACCGGAACTATTCAACAATGCATTCATTGTTTCCTTTAAAGACCGGTTTTTCCTTTCCGCCACTCCATTAGATTGCGGCGTATAAGGAGGAGTCATTTGGTGAACGATACCAAACTCAGCACAAATTTCCTCAAAAGGAAATTCATATTCACCCTCCTCGTCACTTCTTATCATTTTAACTTTCTTATTCAATCGAGTTTCAACTTCGGACTTATAAATTCTAAAAGCATTCACAGCCTCATCTTTGCTACTAAGCAAATAAGCATAACAATACCTCGAGCAGTCATCTATAAATGTGATAAAATACTTATTACCACCTCTTGACGGTATTGATTTCATATCACATATATCTGTGTGTATTAAATCTAAAGGTTCTGAAACTCTATTGTCTATAGAATGAAACGGAGGCTTAGAAAATTTAGATTCAACACACACTTGGCATTTCTCACTTGAACAATCGAATTTTGGCAATAAACCCATGTTCATTAACTTCTTTATCGACTTATAGTTAACGTGTCCTAATCTAGCATGCCATAAATTAGGAGACTCAAGCACATAAGCGGAAACAACTTTATTCATAACATTATTGGGTACAACAGTCATTACATTCAACTTGAAAAGACCATCACTAAGGTAACCCTTTCCTACATACATCTCATTCTTAGAGAGTACAAACTTATCAGACACAAACACCAACTTGAAACCATTCTTGCTGAGAAGAGATCCGGACACTAAATTCTTGCGTATGTCTGGCACATGTAGCACATTGTTTAGAGTCACAACTTTCCCAGAGGTCATCTTTAGAGCAATCTTTCCGACACCTTCAACCTTAGAGGTTGATGAATTACCCATATAGAGTTTTTCATCACCTTCCATAGGCATGTAAGATGAGAACATTGATTTATTGGCGCAAATATGACGAGTTGCTCCAGTATCAATCCACCATTCTTTGGGGTTTCCCACCATGTTGCACTCGGATATCATAGCAGTTAGATTGATATCATCAACACCATTGGAAATTTGTTCCACCACATTAGCCTGAGTTTTCTGTCTTTTCTTGGCTCTGCAGTCTTTGGCTCGATGTCCAGACTTGCCACAGTTGAAGCACTTGCCAACGAACTTCTTCAGGCCTTGGGTGAATCCCTCTCCAGACTTGCTAGGCATTTTCCTCTTCTTGTTGGGTTTTGATCCTTCTTCAACAACATTGGCTCTCGAGACCGCCAAATTGCTGCCAACTTTCTTCTCGGAATTCCTATTGTCTTCCTCTATCCTCAATCGAACAATTAAATCTTCAAGTGATAATTCCTTTCTCTTGTGTTTGAGATAATTCTTGAAATCTTTCCAAGACGGCGGTAACTTTTCAATGAAAGCAGCCACTTGAAAAGATTCACTAATCATCATACCTTCAGCATGAATGTCATGCGTGATCACTTGAAGTTCTTGAACTTGACTTAAGACGGTTTTAGAATCTACCATCTTGAAGTCCAGAAATTTGCCGACGATGAATTTCTTCAATCCAGCATCTTCCGTTTTGTATTTCTTGTCCAAACTTTCCCACAACTCCTTAGCCGTTTTTAGCGGACTATAAACGTTGTAGAGGGAATTGTCTAGACCATTGAGGACGTAGTTGCGACACAGAAAATCAGAATGTTTCCATGCATCTATAACAGCAACCTTTTCCTTGTTTGTCTCTCCTTCATCCAACTTCGGAGCATCCTCCGTGAGGAACCTTGCCAAGTTCAATGTAGTGAGGTAGAACAACATCTTCTGTTGCCATCTCTTAAAATCAGCCCCATTGAACTTTTCCGGCTTCTCTCCATGAGTTGGAACAGGCCGCAATAGGCGTCGTCGATGTTGTAGCCATTTCTGACACGAAGACAGAAATGATTGAGAATGTAACTGAACAAACACGATAATAAAAAATTGTCTTAAGATTGTTGTTCAATATACACGTGTTTGTATGTGCATATAAAGTAAAGTTGTTTGACAAACCTGAAATGAGTGATCCGAATTTGACGATTGATCCGAGCCCAACGAGTTCACGTTGTGTCCTTAAGACAATTTGTCCCCTCTACCGGTACCCAAAGGTTGTTGAACAATTGCCTCCCAGGATAGAACGGATCGCCTTTCCTATGAAGCGGTACTTCTTCAAAGGAAATCTTCGAACGCAACTTCGCAGAATAATCGCACAAAAGATGACTACGATGAAGAATGAGAGTGCGTGAGAATGCCGTGAAAATATGAAATGCCTGAGACTTCCGAAATGTTCAATTCGTCATATATATAATGAATAGTCACCAAGGAATTTCGGATATATAAGGATGAAACTGAAGAGTCACCAACCGAACAAACAATTTCGTTCGGTTCTACGTGAACAGTCACGAGCCGAGCCTTGAACCGGTTTGGTTCGTGAACAGGCGCGCGAAAGGGTTTCGGTTTTCGTTCGGGCGAACCTCACCTCACGAACAGACATGTTTGTTTGTCCAAAAAATAAATAAATAAATAATTTCTAAACAACGTGTCTGTTCGAAAAATAAAAAATAAAAAACCGATAGAGAGTGGACCCGGCCGGACGGACGGCGGCGCGCGCGCGGGGGGTGGACCGACCTAGCTTGACATAGGTCCTCTCTCTTCCACAAAAGTGGGGTACCCCTTGGGGCCCAAACCCATTTGTGAGGCTCAACTATTTGAACCCATCTTCCATCTCTCTTCTACCCTATGTGGGACACTTTCACCCACACACTTCTCATTCAATTCTATGGGATTTTGGTGACAAATCCCAACAAAACTTTCTCAACTCAATTGACGAGGTTGTAGCCAAAAAAATCAAGATCCAGACGACATCGACGTTTTATTAGTAGCAATGATTTCAAACAAAGCAAAGATGCGAAAAGCTAGATAAGAGGCCGACCACAGAGTGCTCAAACTTGATGGGCAAATTTGAACACTACCAATTTGATCGAAGTGCTTTTACTTCGTAACATGTTTTCAAACGCTCCTAATTCACTCGATATCATATTAATTTTTGTTGGAGCTCCACAATGACTCTCATTCCTCATCCTAAACCACTAACTTCTGATCAGCTTCTCGCTGAGACTTGTTGTTCTCTAGTTACAAGCATCTTCATCAGCTTCAACAAATCCCTTGGGCCCCAATAGTTGTGCTGATCATTAAGCCTTGGCAATGAACTCTTCCATGGCCTTCTTCATGGCCTAGATAAACTGTTGCCGCTCGCACGCACAAGTGAGCGGGGCTCTTTCTCTTCTGTCGGCCGAGGGTTCAGCGTGCGCCACCCCTAAGGGGCGATGTTTCGTCCTCGAGCCCCACGACGCCAATGAGCATGTACGTGGCTAGCAACGCCTTGCATCATTGCTTCCAAAAGTAGCGATCTTCTTTACCCAGTCGTATTGTGCTCAACACCTTCTCGGCATCGAGCGATTTGATATATTGAAGCCCTGGACAATGGTATCATCACGTCAGAAAAAAAGGAAGAAAGGTGAAATTCTCCACTGTTAAAGCTAAACGGACCCCCTTCAGGCATTTCAGCGAACATCTTTAGGGCGCGTGCGTGCAGCGTGCCTCGAAGGGAAGACACTCACATCAGATCGGAATTTGCGAAGAATCTCGGGTTAAAGGAATCATTTTTGTAAAGCTCACCCGCTATGGCCCCGTGGAATCTTGTACGAACCATTTCGAGGAGAGAAACTCTGAATTTCTAGTAAAACTGGGGTTCCCCTGTAATGGCTTGCTTCAAAGAAAAGCTAGTCCTTGTCATACGACGAGATGGCAGAGAGAGAGAGAGAGAGAGAGGGGCTGATGATGGTGTCGAAGATGGATGGAGGGGAGGCAGAGCAAAGCAGGCGTGAGAAAGATAAAAGAGCCGAAAAAAACAAAAGAGAAAGAAAAGAAAAGAAAAGAAAAACGCAAAACAAAAGGGAGAAAGAAGAGAGAAAAAGAAGAATAAAGAAAAAAAAAATCAAAATTATGGTGATAGTTGTTGTTTATTTGAAATGATAACCAATTTAGGTTTTCTTCTTTTCTTTTTTTAAATAAAAAAATAAACCTCACTTCATGCTTTTTATTTTTAATTTTCCCAATAGCTATATATATATGCTTCGGGGAATACGAGGTACGATCGAGAAAAGCAGCGATTTATTCTTTAGAGTCAAAATAACTGCAATTAACGCTTTGAAGCTAAAGCCCACCAGATCATCAAATCAATTCAATTGGGGAAGGAGTTGCAGAGAGAGAGAGAGAGAGAGAGATACGTAAGTCTCGTCGGAGCTCGAGCTTCTTCCGAGTAGGTGGGTGGATCGGAATCGGAATCGGTATCGGTATCGGAGAGCTCTGGCTCGCGATATCTGGAAACGGCTGTTCCCGTCCCGGACCAGCAGCAGGTTCCCGCTCCCTCCTCCTCCTCCTCCGTCTCCGATCGGATGCGGATGCGGATGCGGAAATGCGATGGACATCAACCTCTTCAAGCTCTGCTCCGGCCTCAAGTTCCTGGGCTACCTGATGATCCTCCTCGTCCTCGCCATCGTCGTCGTCTCCTACTACGCCGTCGTCCTCCTCACCTGGGGTCCCCGCCTCCTCCAGGGCGGCCTCTCTTCCTTCCTCGCCTTCTTCCTCCTCCTCCTCTTCCACCTCCTGGTAGTACCCCCCCTCTCTCTCTCTCTCTCTCTCTCCCTCGCTTCCTTCTCTTTGCTCATTTTGTTTCTCTATTCGCCGATAGGCGATAGCGCGTGTGTTGGAACGGCCACAAACGTAGCTGGAAAATCTGAGTGTGTTCGAGCTAGCGCCATGGTTGGATATATTCTCAGTTCGATGCATCGTGGCAGCATCTTAGCTTAAGTGTATGAGCTGGGTGCTGCGATTGCTCGAAATGTGGAGGCATGCCTCTTCACACCACTGGAACTGGAGGTGCTTGTTATTATCAGAAAGCAAGGAAAAGGTTTTAAAAAAAAAAAAAAAAAACAAAGGGGGAATCCAGTTGCCCAAGACAGTTATAGCTTAGGTGGAGAAGTCTCCTTTTCTTAGCTTGCGCGATGAGTTATTTTATTTAAACTTTTGCTATTTCCATTTGATAGCATAGACTGTAGGGCAGGTGTGTGGTAGGGTCACTCAGTTTGCTTAATATAGCAGGCCATTTGTTTTGCAGCTCCTTCTGTTATCCTGGAGCTATTTTATGGTAGTTTTGAGGGATCCAGGTTCAGTCCCCGAGAATTGGAGACCGGTTCGGGACGAAGAGAATTTTGAGGGTGATGGTTCTTATTTACCACATGAGGCCTCAGGGTCAGCTTCTACCTGGCCTTCCTCAAATGGATTGGAAGGAAGACCGCCTTCGGGATTCTGCATTCGTTGTCAAAATGGAAAGCCGCCTCGGTGTCACCATTGCTCTATTTGTGAGTGTTTCGCTCTTGGTCATCTTGATCTTCAACATTGGCTTCCCTTTTTTCCTTTTTTTTTTTTTCTTCTTTTTGGGATTTAGGAACTTTTGGGAGCAAGAGTCGGTAAATAGTTGAATGCTGCTGTTGCTAGATGTATTCAAGCAATTCAATAATATCTCTTCCTGCTCTAGAATTCCGTGTATTATGATGGTGCTTGTGGGTTGCCTCCATCTTGCCTATGGTGCTTTTCAATGTCTTAAGTAACATGTCTCTATTCTTCTGCAGGCCAGAGATGCGTTCTTAAGATGGATCACCACTGTGTTTGGGTTGTGAATTGCGTTGGTGCATGCAACTACAAGTTCTTTCTTCTTTTCCTGGTATTGCTGTTTTGCTTTCGATGCTGAAAATTAGAGTTAGATGATAGTTGCTACTTCATGTATAGAAGGTGGTCAGCAGAACCTTATGCTTTTTAATCACATCTTTGTCTGGACTTGCCGAACATTTGGGTAGCGGGTAGGTTGTGTGCTTTAGATTGTTGTGGTGGTGAAGTCATTGTGATTTATTTTGTATTAGAAAAGATTATGGTTATTCGAGTAACACAGGAGAAATATTTTGCGATAAACTTTCTGGAAGATTGAATTGCTGATCGTACAGGGGATGTCCTTTCTGGTCTATCTTGCTGGTACTAGTCTACTGCTGTGACCTTCATGATCCCTTATATTTGTGAAGGATACTTATAGAGCGCGATATCTCTTTTTCATATAACAAGCAGATGCTGGGCACAAGTAACCAAGACTGGTGGCACTGTAAAAAAATGTCTTCTGCATTCATGGAATTTTTCTATGATATGCAATATGGTTCCTCTTTTCCGTCATTGAGATTGGTATTTCATGACTTGAATTTGGCCTTGTCAGCTGTATACCTTCTTGGAGACAACAATGGATACTTTCGTACTGCTTCCAAGTTTCATCGATTTCTTTAGTGAAGCCAAGAATCATTCCGACTCTCCTGGCAAACTGGCTGTTATTTTCGTGGCATTTGGTAAGTGCTTTGTATGCGAGATCAATTTGGTTTTCTGAATTTGTATCTCATACTTACGTACATCTTCTCAACTTCGTATAATAATTACAGAGTTTGTATATTGATGCAGTTCTTAATCTAGCTTTTGCACTGAGTCTTCTTTGTTTCCTTGTTATGCACGGGTCTCTTGTTTTCAGCAACACCACTTCCATAGAGGTGAGGAAAAGTTATTGTCTTCCTCATTCTATATTTCCTTCTGATTTACAATTGATTTGTTAAACTGAGTTATGCTTATATGTGATGTTTTCTGCATTAGCATGTAAATTGAATTTAAACAGACTGTTGTCCTTGAAATTGTACTGGACCTTAGCCACTTAGAAAATTACGCCTAGTAGTTTCGGGTAAATGCATTTGTAATGTTGTATGTTAACTTCATATCTAACTAGATGTATATCCTGGATGCAGGAATGTTAATTGGTCTACTTTTTAGTGCAAACAACTGAGGGATTAATAAGTTGCCACCAAGAAGGCTTACCTGAGAGTTTTTTATGATCAACATTATATTAAGAGTTAATGAATTTGCAAAATCTGTAGCTTTGTGGGAAGGAACCAAAGATTGGCAGATTCTGGAACTAGGAAACAATGTGCCTGAAAGAATGTCGCTGTGTCTGAAGTTGTTTTCACCTTTTCCTAGCATCTGAATGTTTGAATTGAAGGTCTGCTGTTCCAACTTAAGAAAAAGGAAAAAGTTTAGGACGGTGAAATGATCAGAAGCCTAATCAACACAATTGCCTAAAGGTTTGGATAATCATTATGGAGTACTATGACCAGTAAAATATAGCAAAGCAAGAAATGAATCATTCACCTTATTATTTTTGCTGGAAGTCTGGTACAAGAACAAGTAAGCATGTTCGCAATATTGATCTCTGCCGATGGGTGTGCATGACCCTCTGAAATTGACATTATAGGTTTATGAGAAGAAGAAAGGGGTAAGGTGGAAGTATGACTTGGGCAGGAGGAAGAATTTCGAACAGGTGATAGCATTTAACTCTGATCTTCTCTTGGCTAGAGATTGCAAATTATCATGTGCTATGTCTAATGATGCCCATGTGCATATGCCTCTCGCATTCACTGTGTTCACTTTTAAATTGCAGTCATTCTATCAATGGTGTTAACTGTTGCTCAGCAATTTTATCCCTTGGTCATTATGAGATTTCCTTAAAATTGGAAAAGAGCTGTTGGATCCTCTCTTATGTTGGCCAAAAGATGAAAATTTATAGGGAGGTAATCAACTAATTGGATTTCTCTGATATGACTTCTAGATGTGTGATTATGAGGGCATCTTTCAAGGGTAGATGATAGATTTTCCTTTCCCTGGTGTCTTATGGTAGAATGAAGAAACTTGTTAGATAAGAAGTCGAAGAAGTTGGCCCCTATAGAAATGTTCCTAAAAGTTCATTGATATGCTGCGTTCTAGGATGTGATATTATCTTCTACCAGGATTCTTTAGCTTCCTTCAGGTACAAATTATGTCTTGATCTTTTCGTTGAGTTCTCAGGCTCATACTCTTGATTTTTGTTTGTGTGAAGGTTTTTGGCACCAAAAAAGCACTGTGGTTCTTTCCATTACTTTCAGAGGAGGATTTGGGAAAAATACCTGCACTTCATGGCCTAGAGTTTCCAACTCGCTCTGATGTTGAGGTGTAGAAGTCTGAATCAGTCTTCAGGGGTCATAGATGTTGCCCTTAAATGGCTAGAATGGAGCTGACAATCCTATCTCGTGAGTTGTTGGTTTGCCTGTACATTCTTTCTTCGAATATTGGTTCCATGATGCAAATTATTCATTTGAGCGGGTGATGCATCTGAATGTTTGAATTGAAGTTCTCAGGCTGTCAGCTGAAAAAAAGAAAAAAAAGCGAGAAACTAATGGAAATTACGTACTGAAAGTAATATTTTACCCACTTGATTCTGGTACCTTTGAATGCTGTGATTTATAACGCACTAGTTGTAGCTCGTCTTGATGTTAAGTGATCTTTTAGTCACATGAGGCAAGGGAGGAAGCAGTGAAACTTGAACTTCAATATTTTGGGAAAGGATCAGCCGTGAGTCAATCAGTGGTCTCAGCTTTGCCAGGATTGCACACAGCAGGACAGGCTAATACCAGGATTCGAAGTTGTTATTTATTGTAGGGCTTTAATAATCCAAGTGCAATATGGCTATCCTGTCATCGTGAGTGATGTGCCCTTGAACTGGATTGATGTAGCAAGCCTAGGAGCTGCGGATGTCGTGGCAAAAATCAAATTTCCTGATTCCTGTGTTAAGTTTGCAGTGACATCATCCTGGTGAATCATATTCTGTGGAGAATACTTGAGGGTAACTGGTATTTTATATGGAGAATGGTTAAAGTGAAGAAAATTGCCCTTTGGTCGGTGACTCATGAGGTCTTTACTAACGCAGCACAACTTATACAGTTGGATGAATTTAGAGCAGTCTTTTCTTTCCCCATCCTTCTCATTACTTTCTAATTGGATGAACCCGGGGAGGTTCACTTAAGTTGCCTGGAAATCACGCGTTACTAAAATCTTCTCTGGCCAGCCAGTTTTTTACAAGGGAGGCAAACATGTTGAATATGATGTGTGTCATCTGTACAATAAGGATAGACGGCCATCTTATGTGTTTATGAGCTCGACCTGTTTATGTTGCATTCTCTTTGTATTAAGCAAGATGATCAGGGTAGATATAATAAAATGGTTTCTGGAAATTCTCCTTCCCAAAGCGGAACCCGGCCAGGATATCCTAACCCCATATGGCCGCGAATTCTTATTGCTAGTGTTTCCTGCATTAGGACTTTTATACATGTACTTCTGTCTGCTTGGATTGATAATTCTCGTGCTCCTTGTTGGAATTAAATGAGGCGCACTGTAGGAAAAGAAAATGGAGGCGTGTCTTGTATAGAACGATTGCGGAACATAGTCGGCCACAGAGTGGGAAGTTATGTGAAAGCTATCGTGTCCTTTTTCTTTTTCTGGGAATTCGATCCGGATCTAATTATTGTTTGATATGTGATGATCTGTATAATAAAATTAGAAGGCGGAGTTATGGCGAGAAGCCACGTGGGCTTCTAGGAAATGACAAAGTAAACAATATAAAAGACTTGGATGATAACTGGGGGATCGTTTATTGGTATGGCCGGTGGGTAACCCCAGAAAACCATCATTGCATAAAACCTGAACTGGGGAAGGCTCAGTGTGCATCTTGTCCAGCTAGATGAAGAATAAAACCTGCCTTCTTCCTCTTTTCTTCTTCCTTTTTGTTATATCTAATGGAAAAGTGCTCAAGTTGAGGGGGTGGCCTAATTATTGCCTATGATGACCTAATGCCCGTATTATTTTGTTTTCAAATGATGAAACCAATGAAGGAGGAGAGCTGGTAGATAGGGAGAATCGATTACGGTCTCTTATTGTACATACAGAGAGGGAATCAAACCGTGCCTTCTCTAGGCTACATAGCATACGGACAAGCATCGCCGGCTGTCCTGATTGAAATCCTACATTTCCGTGGTAATTTGCCGAGTTGCCGAATCACTGAGCGAGCCGGGAACGAGGCTTTCTCTCACCGGTAAAGAAATTAATAAGAGAGGGAGTCTGTAAGGGCCTGCTTGTACACTCTCAACACAAGTGAAAACCTTCGTGGACTGGACGCCCAGCTGTATGTAGTTATCGAACGCAAGCAGGGCTTGATCCCGCACCCGCAACTGCAACTTCAATGGAGGCATGTGGGGGTGGTACCGATGAAGGGTGATGATCCTTGGAAGAGGAAGAGGAAGGGGAAGACGATGAACACAAGTCGGATATGACGAGGGAGAGCCAAGCAAACAGAGGAGTGAGGAAGAGGATGAGGCCAACGGGCACCATCCAGAGCTGACGGTTGTTTGGGTGGTACTGGTGCTCCCACCACCCCAGCATCAATCCTCCGGCCAAGCTCACGGCAAATGCCCACCCGCATCCGCATCCAATCCACCTCCTCCCCTTCTTCCCAGCTTCCTCTGATGAAGATGATCCCATGAGGTTGCGGCTTATGCGACCTCCACCCCTAGCTTTTTTGCACGTCCTGACGATGAATACTAAGTGCGAAGAAGTGAATACGATGAAGAGAAATATTGAGTTTGTTTGTGTTATGTCGCTGCTGAAGATGGCTTTTGTATATGTATTCTAGAGAGAGAGAGAGAGAGAGAGAGAGAGAGAGAGGATGCAGTTGTTTGCCAGTGCTAAACTAGGGATATAAACAAGGCAAAGAGGAAGAATGTATATATATTAATATAATAATACCTTCGGATTTTGCTACCTTAGAAAAGCACAAAAATAAGTAATTGTATACTGTCCGGTTGAGCGACCCAGCTAAGGCAAAGCGTGCCTTTCTATCCAAGTTGTCCATTGTTAAAACAACGTGCATAAACAAGTAAAGTGATTACGTAGCCGCTTTTAAGTCTTACTGAAACAACCCCCGCCACGGAGAGATGCTTGGGGACCTATCTGGTGCAGCTCTTCTCCTCTGCTTATTTAGATATTGTATAATGCATATTACCTAATGTTACATGTTCCTCTGACGTGGAGGCCTCTTCTGATGGCTCTGACATTGACATGGTCTCACAAATAAGCAAAATTCCACCCTTCTTTTCTATACCATAACATTCTGTGGTTGCCGCAGTACATAGCTAGCTTCTCTCTATCTCTCTCTCGCTCGTCCAGAGGCTGCTTAAATTGACAAATAACAAACTACGCTGATGGATTTGGAATCAACTCAACAAACAAAGAAGTGGGCATTTGCTTTGCACTTCACACTGGAGGTATTACCAAGACACAGCTCTCTTCCTATAAGCTCCATCTGCCTACCTGTGCATGTGAAACGGATAGCGACTGATCGATTCTAGACGTGCCATTTATGAAGAAGAGACGATACCTGAAGCAAGACCACAAGTTTGTACTTCACTACGACAGCCCATCTAACGATCCAAGCTGTCTAATTGAGAGGGGACTTCTCTAGGAGCAGTTCCAAGTGCACAATCGACGAGCCCAACTAGAGCATCCTACGTAGACTGGTGGCTTCATGCTCGATCCCCTCTTTCCTTTCACGGTGAAAATTATCTGACCGTTTTACTTATTGGAAAACTTTAGTGACCGGCACCAGGCAATTAAATAACTGGCCGAGCCACTGGGCTCTAGCTAAATCGTTAGCTGGTGATAGAACCAATCTCTTGTTGTAGCAAGGCTTTGGAATCAAGATTCATACCGTATTGGGATAGAATAGTATATGACGGCCTTTTTCGCCCTTAAAAAACAAGATACATAGCTTAATTATGCACATGTACTATCTCGAGTAAGATGGCAACAAGTCCTCCATGTGTAACAACAGAAAAATGTGGTTAACCTTCATCAATTTCACATTGCTTTTCTGTCCACTTGATTATTATCCTATAGAAATTTTGCAGTCTTGTCATTCTAATCATGGATGCGATAGATAAATTATCTTCGCCTTTTCTGTAATTATCTTTACACTTGTTGCGTGTGCATTAGGACGCATCAGGATGTGTAGACGAAGTCAGTATACCTCATCATTGCAAAAAGTCGGTAAGAGGGAGCTCAAGCCCGATTCGAATAAGATTCAACCCAATCTAGTTTCATACATATGTGCACCCTAACGACGGATGAGGTATCGTTGTAGGGACCAGATTGGAACCTCGGCATCTGCAAGTATGATCGACCCCAATTACTTATTTGGGGAACTTAGGAAACCTTTAATTTGGAGATTGCACTCGGGTTTTCTAGGTGATCCCGAATAGAAGTGAGGAGAGAACAGTTTTTTTTTTTTTTGGACATAAGGAGAGAACAGTTAGAGAGCAGCAATCTGGAATGGGAATTAGTTGGGTAGGTGGGTCATCTATTCATAATTAAATATACACAAACGAATATACAAATTTTTGAGTAACACACCATAGAAGTCTAGGATCTTCGTAACGAGGTGATCTAAGAGGAAGTCCATAAGATGAATCCATTGATAATCTTGTTGAACTTATATTCACTCAAAAGCTTAAATCGTTAGGTTATAAACAACTACGTATCCTGAATTGCTTTTCGTTTTTTCAACTCTAGACCTTCGATGTCGGAGATTTTTCTTTCAAATCATTCATACGTGCACTCAACGCAAATTGGAATGGTGAGACCTCCACCATTCGAATCAGCTGCGTAGGTAGAAATTTTACTGGTGCAAGTTTCTTCTGGGGGCAGTAAGGCCGCATTTTTGTAGTCCGTAGCATTTGCCTGGCTCTTGTCCAGTAGCTTCCTCAGGTATTATATATGTGTTCAGACCATGACGATGCGCACTTTCCACCATCTTTACTCATGGTGAATGAAGAAACAGGGGGCCCAATATGGGACCTTTTAATCTGTTTGCCCAGCGTAGGCCCAATCTAGCAGGTAAGACGAGCTTCATCACCCACGACCCAGTATTTTTTTATGCAAAACTAGGCTTCAGAGCATGGACGAAAGGCCCAACGTGAAGTCCCCAGATGATTCATAACACGACCGAGGAAGAAGGATTGGCATCACCACAGATATTTTCCCTCTCAACTCGATTGAGCTTGTCTGTTTGTGGGGGCATCTTTGACTCTGAGAGAGAGAGAGTCATCTCATCAATCGAGGTCAGCCGAGGATAAAGAGATCTGGACGTTCTCAATTATTGGGGCACAGTACAGTATGGCCCAAGTTCCATCACTCATTTGGGCGGCCACGCCACATGTAATGTTATGTATGATGTTAGTATGCTTCCTCGTTCGTTTTGGCGCATCTTCTCTCCCTTTCTCTTCTAGAATCCCCAAGGACGTTACCGCCTTCCTCTGTTTTTACCTCTTTCTTTGTTCTCTTTTGGGAGGTCAAAACTTGGTGCGCACATACCAATAGGTACGTTCCACACAGTAACGCGAGGTGTTGATCTGAAGCTCCTCGTCCTTTTCTCTCCTAAGCCCAATCCTTCTAATCAGCCTCTCCGTATGAAACAAATGGCGCACACATCCGCACATGCAAGTTTTAAAGTAGTTATTTGTTGCGGAAGGAGTAGTTGCAATTGAATTATGCCCAGAAGAACAGCATTAAATGCGGAAATAATGGGTTGTTGAAGAGATTCTTCACCATCACGAGGGTAACTGAACTGATAAAGATCCAGAAAAAAGAAGAAGTAAATTGGAGTGGCGCGGCTAAGGCGGTAATTATAAAGAAAGCAGTCCTACTAAGCCTGTGGAGGCCAAATGGGAAACGATGGATGTAAATATTTTAGGATCTTCGATGGAGGAGAATAGAATAGAGATTACACTTTTACTTGGGGAAAATTATCAAAAAAGTCCTAAACTTTTGCAATTGTGCCAATTCAGTCCTAAACTTTTTTTTGGCAATTCGTCTAACCTTTTGAAGCCGGTCCTTGCTGACGGCGCCGACCGACGGCCGGCCGGCCGGCCGGTGACGGGCCGCCGGCCGGCTTCCACGTGGCAATATTTTAATAATTTTTTTATTATTTTCGAATTTTTTTTTCCTTTTTTCTTTTTTTTTTCTTTTCCTTCTCCCCCCTGGCTTGTCCTGCCAGGGGGAAGGCTCGTCGGCGAGGCGAGCTGGGCCCTCGCCACCGCTGGGCGAGCTCGCCCAGCTCCAGCGAGGCGGAGCTCGCCTTGGCTGGGCGAGCTCCGCCCTCGCCCAGATCTGGCGAGGCGGAGCTAGGCGAGCTCGCCCAGTGGCGGCGAGGGCCCAGCTCGCCTCGCCGGAGCTGGGCCCTCGCCGACGAGCCTTCCCCCTGGCAGGACAAGCCAGGGGGGAGAAGGAAAAGAAAAAAAAAAGAAAAAAGGAAAAAAACTCGAAAATAATAAAAAAAATATTAAAATATTGCCACGTGGATGCCGGCCGGCGGTCCGTCAGCCGGCCGGCGGCCACGTCAGCGGCCGGCCGGCCAAAAGGACTGAATTGACTGGTTTGCAAAAGGTTTAGGACTGAATTGGCAAAAAAAAAGGTTTAGGACTGAATTGGTACAACTGCAAAAGGTTTAGGACTTGATTGACTTCACATTATATTTGGAAAAATTATCCAAAACATCCTAAATCTATCATATGGCGGCCATTCAATCCTAAATCTTCAATTTAGTCATAAACCATTTCATAACTTGCTAATTTAGTTTTAAACTTTTCAATTGCGTCAATTTAGTCCTAAATCTTTTAACGATTTGCCAATTTAGTCATTTCGGCTAATTTTGACCAGAAGTCGCTAATCTAGTGGTCTAGTTAGAGCCGGCCGTTCTACATAATTTTTTTCTTTTTCTTTTTCTTTTTCCCTTCGTTGACCATGGTTGGGGCCTCAGTTGCCCTAGTTGGGGCAGGCGACTCGCCTGAGGTCACTGGCCATCGACAAGGCCCGGTGATGGCTGACAGAGGGAAAAAAGGAAAAAGAAAAACGAAAAAGAAAAGGAAAAAGAAAATTCATAAAATAAAAAAAAAATGTAAAATAATCCACGTCAGCACCAGCTGTGCTACGTAGGATGGCCAACGCTCACTAGACTTAGTGGGAAAAGTACAAAAAGAGTTCTATACCTATTGCATTTATGTCAATTCAATCATAAATCTTCAATTTAGTTTTAAACCTTTTGATAACTTGCCAATTTAGTTATAAATTTTCTGGTGGGAAACTCAATAGCTATTAAGTACTTATTGGTTAGATACCATAATAGCCATTTTAAGTTTGTCAGGAAAATCATTTTTTCTCCAAAGTAATGGGTGAATGAAAGGGTACCTCGAGTTCGGCCAATTTTGACTGGAAATCACTGACGTGGTGGTTTAATCAGCACCAGTTGTCCTATGTGGCTTGGCACAATTGGCGCTGTCGTGGACAAAATTTATAAATTTTTTTTAATAATTTTATGATATTTTAATAAAGTTTTTGAATTTTTTTTTCTTTTTTCCTTTTCGTTTCTTTCTTTTTTTTTTTCATGCCGTTCTTCCTCTAGCTGGTTGGTGGGCCTCAGCAAGCCTCACCCGCCCCTGGCGAGGCTTGACCTCACTATTGTTGAGCAAGGTCACCCTTGCCATGGCTAGGCGAGGTCGGCCTTGCCAGTGTCTGGGCAAGGGTTGAGCCTAGCCAATGCTAGAAAGGGCAAGCTTTGCTCGAGGTCGACCTTGTCGGCCATCAACCAGGCCCCGTGACCATTTAGAGGAAGAAGGAAAAGAAAAAAATTCGAGAAATTTATATAAAAATTTAGAAAACCATAAAAAAAATTGCAAGAATTGTCCATGTTAATGCTGGCCGTGCCACATTAATGATTTCTCGTCAAAATTTGATGGAAGAACTAGATTAGAAAATTGTTAAAAGGTTTAGAACTAAATTGTCACAATTGAGAGATTTATGATTAAATTGACAAGTTGTCAAAAGTTTTAGGACTGAATTGGTACAAGAGTAATATGTTTATGACTTTTTTTTGTATTTTTTCTAGACCGCCAAGTCAGTGATTTTTGATCAAAATTGATTGGCAAATCGTTAAAAGGTTTACGACTAAATTGATAAATTATCAAAATGTTGAGGACTAAATTAGCACAATTGAAAAGTTTAGGCCTTAGTTACTAACTTATCAAAAGATTTATGACTAAATTAGCCGTCGTACAATGAGTTTAGTACTTGTTGGATAATTTTCCCCTTTATACTTTATTAGGGTAGGATATTAAACTCGAAGAATATGCATAATAAAGCAAATAATCTAATCAATAATTAATCAGCTATCCTAGCAAATAAGGAAATATGGTATAATATCCCTAATATCTGTAAAAATATTCTCTGATAAGGAAATTTCTGATTTTCCATAAATATATATATGGTCAAAAGAGAAAGAGGAGAGGAGAATCGAAGAGAGATATACAAAGACTCGCACAAAAGTGGACGGAGCATTTGTGGTCCTCGCGTCTCTCTCTGACTGGGGGGAGTCTCCTCGGGAACACACGTGTGTGCGTCAGCCCGCATGAACGGAGACGCATTATTATCAAACCGTCATACGTTGTTGTATCCGCACTGTCGAAAACAGTTGGTCGTTTATCTGATGATGAGCCTCGTCAAATCTAAGTGAGAGTTTTTACTTTCCTGGAATTACACAATGCTCTGGCTGAACTAGGGGGATTAGGACCGCTAAATTCCAAGACGAATAGCCGGGTGGGACCTTCTCACCTCCACCCACACCATCGATATCATCGTCATCGTCATCGTCTCTCTTTATCTATCTCCCAGACACGGGGCCACCACCCTTCCGAGAGAGAGAGAGAGAGAGAGATTTACGTTCCCGTTTTACTCGTGCCCTGCAATTCGCCTTCCTGTCCCGTCCACCTCTCCCCTCTTCTGGTGTCCACCCATCTAAGAGAAAGGCGAGAAGGTCACAGCCTGGGGGGCGAGAAATGAGCGTGAAGGTACCGGCGACGAGGACCCGCGTGGGGAGGTACGAGCTTGGCAAGACGATCGGGGAAGGCAGCTTTGCCAAGGTCAAGTTCGCCAAGCACCTCGACTCCGGCGACTCCTTCGCCATCAAGATCATCGACCGCCATCACGTCCTCCGTCATAAGATGGTCGAGCAGGTATCTCTCTCTCTCTCTCTCGCTTTGTACCGATTCGTACACTGATCCGTGCAGCTCTTATACCACCCATCATGTATCCAATGCCGTTACTTCTTTCATCGCTTATGCGTTCGTTGAATGGAACCTTGATATCATCATGTCAAACTCAACCATAATGCTTGTCCACTGCAGAGACCGTCTCGATATTTTTCCTTTGCTTTTCTTTTTTATTTTTTCGGTCTTGGTTGGTGTTGAGGCATTCGGAAACATACTATCTTCAGAATTTCTTTGTTACTTTGACCCGCCGCATCCGTATCCATTCTAAGGCAATTGTGGAGCATTTTCTTTCTGATAGATAGCGGTTAAGTTGAATTTACCCTGACCAATATGCTGTTAAGTTGGCTGCATCTGCTTCGTCTCTGATTACCAGAAATGATGGGGAGTTGCCCTAGAAATTCTTCATACTGCCTACCTGTGCCACGATTTCTTATTTCCAATGGTCTTCTTTTTTCTTGCTGTCATGCTCTCAATTTTTGTCTCACAGCACTTTCCCAACCTTCAGGAATTGTTGATTCCGCTGCTTTTGTTTCTTTTGGACAGATAAAGAGAGAAATATCAACCATGAAGCTGATCAAGCATCCAAACGTTATCAAAATTTTCGAGGTATTCATTCTCTTCATTTTTTCTTCCTTCACAGTGAAGTATGGTACTTCTGCTCCAAGCATTTGCCACTGTATGCTTTTACAGGTTCAGTTGGCTTTCATCTTCGTACCAATCATGAATTAAAGCATGCAGTTGCGTGCCCATTTTAGCCCACAGTAATCGCTGCTTCGAAACTAAGATACTTGCATTGTGAATAGCACCTGACAAATGTCTTCCATTCTGCGCATATACAGGTCATAGCCAGCAAAACAAAGATCTACATTGTTCTTGAGTTTGTTGATGGTGGCGAGCTCTTTGACGAAATAGTAAGCAATTGTATCAATGCTTGGCCTCATATTGCTAAGATAAAACATTTGTGCAGCACCTCCATACCTGCGATTAGGGAAATTCTCAACTTCTAACATGGTGTTATGTTTAACTCCCAGGCAAAACATGGAAGGCTAAGAGAGGATGATGCCAGGCGCTATTTTCAGCAACTCATTGATGCTGTGGACTACTGTCATAGCAGGGGTGTTTACCATAGAGATTTGAAGGTCAATGAGATTCTTCCTTTTTCTTGATTTCACTTTTTATGAGATTTTGCTCGTACATGTCCTATATTCCCGACTTCTAATTAGCATTTCTATATAATATTGCTCTTGTTGCAGCCTGAAAATCTGCTTCTAGACACCTATGGAGTTCTTAAAGTTTCGGATTTTGGATTGAGTACTTTCTCAAAGAAAGTGAGGGCAAGTACTCTAATCTATTACTTGAGATTTATGTGGTCTCTTCTATATGTCTTTACAGTGTTCGGTCATTATTCATCGCTTTTCACTGGTCATTCGAGACTGCAATGGTAAAGCAGGGCTACAGTACATTTTTCTAAATCAGTTTCTTCTTTTATTGCTAATATGGGGACGCGATTTTGGTGTACGCAAAATCTATGGCCTTTCCTTACTTTACAAGTGCTCCTTGCCTAAGCTTTATTGTTCTTAAAAATTTGCTTTTCCTTCCGTAGGAAGAAGCAAAGTCTAGTTTGTACTTCATTATGTTTGATGCACAGTCTGTACAAATCATTATCTCTACATTTATGATGATGCATGGTCTATTTTTTTGCTTTAGTGAGCACTTCTGAAACTAATATAGGGTTCGATGTCTAGAGAAGATGAGTATCTATATTATGAGCTTAAGGAAAGATATTCTCTGTTTTGCCATTGTGTAGGAGGATGGGCTGCTTCATACTGCCTGTGGAACCCCGAATTATGTAGCTCCCGAGGTCTGAATCTCGAACTCAAGAGGCTTCATCTCTAGTTCTCCTGACCTTTTCTGTATCCTTTAATGTATAGCACGTATATTTCCCTTTTCAGGTCTTGACTGATAACGGATATGATGGTACATCATCCGATATTTGGTCTTGTGGGGTAATTCTTTTTGTATTAATGGCTGGATACTTGCCATTTGATGAAGCCAATCTCATTGCTTTATACAGAAAGGTGAGGATATTCAATTTTTTCAAAATCCAACCTTGAAATATGTCCTTGTACTCATGAGAATCTTTTCAGATCTGCAACGCTGATTTCGCATGTCCTTCATGGTTCTCATCTGGTGCAAAGAATCTTATTAAACGTATTCTTGATCCAAGTCCTCTCACGGTTAGCTCCGACGTGTTCTAGTTTCCTCTTTCATTTCTCACACTCGTACTTTAGGAGACTGGTTAACTAGATAAGTATGCTCATTCTTTAAAGCGAGAAGTTGAACCTGTTTCAGCGAATAACAATTCCTGAAATCCGGGAAGATGAATGGTTCAAGAAGGGTTACAGGCCACCTCGCTTTGAGCAGGAAGAGGAGGTAAATCTTGACGACATTGATGCTGCTTTCAATGATTCACAGGTGAGGAAATTTTTTTTTCATGTATCTATACTTCAATGAGTTTATTATTTCTAAAGCATGCTAATGGATGTCTTTTCAATTTGAAACTTTTCTCTTTTTATACTTAGCTACCGCTATCACATTTTCTTCTCCAGGAACATCTTGTAACAGAGAGGAAAGAGAGACCTGAATCCATGAATGCATTTGAGCTTATTTCTAGGTCACAAAGCTTCAATCTCGAAAGTTTATTTGAGAAGCAGATGGTACGTGGTTATGGTATTGCGCCAAACTGCTAAATCGCGTTGTTCATTTCTATAAACTGCTTATGTGCTATGGACCTCTCCATAGATGAAATCATATCCAACGAAGCATTCATTTCTAACTGTGTATCGATGAAGTCACAGAACGGTGGATGAGTGAGCAGGAGTTTATGCTTCATGACGCATGTTGAATAGTGTCTTGAGTTTGTGCTCATCATTGAGTGGGTGTTGACCTGACTTATGGAAATGACCCTTTTGGCAATTGTTTTTTAAATTTTTTGAGAAGTCTGTAGTGGTATCTGTTGTACGGACCACTGCTTCGTTGTGCCCATAAAAACTGTTTGTTAACTTGTGTGACAAGTATGATATGAGATGGAGATCTATATAGTCTTGAGGGAAGGGAAGGTTGCGTTTGAGTTGAGAATGAGGAAGGTTTCACTCTATAGACTAGTGAAGGTATAAGCTTGATTCTTGAATAGAAAGTCTGATGTTGATCTGCTCAATTCACAGCATTCACTGAAGTTTCTGTAATTGTTTACTGTTGCTGGATGATTTTGGTTTAACTCTCTTTTTGCTTGGGTCTTCTGATGTAGGACCTTGTGAAGCGAGAAACCCGATTTGCTTCTCAGCACCCTGCAAACGAAATCATGTCTAAAATTGAGGAAACTGCAAAGCCTTTGGGCTTTAATGTTCATAAAAGAAACTACAAGGCAATCACTTGGCAAAGACCGTCTTGCAATTTTCAATGTTTGTGGTACTTCATTTTCCCATAATATTGTTGATTGTTAATTTCTCAAATGATTGCAGATGAAACTGCGGGGTGATAAAACTGGAAGAAAAGGCCACCTGTCCGTGGCTACAGAGGTATGGTCTCCTAATAACTTGTAAGGTAAATCTGTTGAGATTTTCAGATACAGAATCATAGGAATTATACTCTAAAAGAACCAAGTTGCTGAATCATCATAACAAAGGAGGTAGGGAAAGTGACAGCTAGGTGGAACTGTAACCCTCACAAGGGGGGCCCCTCGCCCCTGAATGGCAGATTGTGAAAGTAAATGTAACGAAGGAACCAACTCTTTTGTTCACCCTCATTCAATATGGTTATGGAGCTGCTTGACTTGGTTTGCATAAGCGTGGGAATCTCAACTTGTGCCGTGATTTATTGAGATTCTAGCTTACCAAAGCTCAGTGGCTATGGCAGTGTAGCTTATGCAGTCTCTGCCTTTAATATATTCTGTCATTAGCTAGGAAGGACTATTGTAATCCATTTTCTTCTAATGTTTTATGCTAATTTTTAGACTAGCCAATACTTTCTGTTGTAGCAGCTTTGGTGTCATTTTTTATTATTTAAAGAAATGGTGTCTTCTTCACTTCCAGGTCTTTGAGGTGGCTCCTTCACTCCACATGGTTGAGCTTCGTAAAATTGGTGGTGACACATTGGAGTTTCATAAGGCAAGTACTTATTTTTCGGTTTGGTTTGTTTTCGAAACATATAGAAGTAACAGCTGATCATGTCTCTGGGACAGACATATTTAACCTATATAAAGAAAACAACATGAAGTTAGTTTTTTTTTTCCTTGATAAGTTTTTATTGCAAACTTCTAATTTGGTAGGAGTAATCCCACTATAAGCCTCACATGTCTTGAAAAATCTTTCAAGGTTACTTTTGTGAAAGATGATATTTTTAGAAGAGCATATTTTCTTTAATGAGGTTTGACAGTTTTCTAAACAGATTCTGATTTGTCTTTCTTGGATCTTATTTTTGAGCATCTGTTTTTATGAGTGGAGCAACTGAGGCATGATCGAGGTAATTTAGCAGTAGTTGGGTTTCCATGAGGGAATTTTCTAATAATTTTGAAAATCTATTTTCTACTTCCTTTTCATAAATTTTCAAGGGAGCTTGGTTATCATTATTCGGATCTCATGAATGAGTAGTGGAGTTTATCTCGAGTTAATACTATAGTAAATTGATTTTCTAAAACAAGCCTTTTATAAACACTCCACAAATTCCTGCTTTGGTGATTTAATGATGAGATGGGAGTCCAGTCACTATAATTTTAATAGATTTTGAATACATATGATATTTAGGAGGTGAGGAGTCTTTCAAATTTTATGTATCCCTGATAAGAATACCAGTTCTTACATTTGAGCCATAATCAAGTGGTTTTAAGTGCGACACTTCATCTGTATTTTACATATAAGACGAATAAATTATGGGTGATGATGTCTAGTATTTTATATGCTGAGTAATGTGCCATATCGCAGTTCTATAAGAGCTTCTCGTCGGGTTTGAAGGATATAGTTTGGCAATCTGACGAAACTGCTGATTTAAGGTCTCTCTCTCTCTCTCTCTCCTTCCTTCCGGCCTAAATCTTGAATTTACAGCTGGGATCAAAGAACTTGACTCTTTCTTAATACCCTTGTTTAGGTGACACAGAAATCAGACCAAATTTACCGTCAGATACAGTTGCTTAAGTTTTTGTTTGTCTTCACCCTGTGCACATTTAATCTGAACACTGGCATTCCGCATAAGAAAAGGACGTGTGGAGGACAGGGCAGCTTGTGTCAGCGGCGGGGTTTTAAGCCATCTTTAGTGAAGGAGATCGAACCTTTGCTGAATGTTATCTTGATTCTTAAATTTCTTTTTTTTTTCACTCTCTCGTTCTGACTCTCTTTTTTAGTATAATTTTGTATTTTTAACTGGTTTCTATAATATCACCTTGTTTGACAGTTTCTAGGATAAGGAAACGTGCAATTGATGCCGTCATGGAGGGCTTCTACTTATACCTTAGGATTTCCAATGACTGTTGATCATAACAAATTATTTGACTCTATGATCCAACTGCCAGCTTTTATTGCATTGTGAATAGGTGGATGAATAGCAAATCGTGGTATTTTCTCTCCTGTTGGGAGACAGGTTGCTACGAAGCTAACGGCAGTGGTTAAAGACGCTTTGGAACCAACATATTTAAGGGCACTGCCTGGTTCTTTTTAATTGTCAGAGCAAATGAATTTTTTTTCCTGATGTTCAGTTTGGTAGGAACGCTTATGAAGGCGAACTTTGAGCCTTACGTGTCAGGAGACTTGCTTTTGTTGGGCCACATCCGGTGAGGATTAATCAGTGGCAACTGGTGTTGGACACGCGGTGACATTAAAACAAAATACAAACTTTCAAGCATTTTTTCACTCATGCAGAAAACAAGCTAGAGCTAAAGAGCTCAGTCGCTTGCCGATACAGTTGCTGTGAATTCTGTATGTCAAGCATCTTACTCCAACATGAGTTGACCTAGATAGATTTGTTCAGTTTGGCCGAGGATGATTGTTGATCTTAGAACGGCAACAGTTAGAACAGCGGTCCTATTCAACCTATGATCATCCTTACATAGGCTTCAAAATTAACCCTTACTGCAAAGACTAGTATATTTTTGAGTCAAAAGACTCAAAACCATTAAGTAAATCGACTTACTGCTAACAGCACCGTTGTCTTCTTGTAGCTCTTACGACTCTTTCTATCGTTTTATTTAAGCCACAGAATGTATTTTACTAGTTCTAGTAGTCAAGATTGACTCTGCAACAACCCATCTTACACATACGACCCTTCTTATGCTTAAGAGAGATAGTAAAAGTATACCAAATTCAATTTATCCTTCAGCTTCTTCAATGGGGATGCTCAATTTTATCTGGTGATGTTCCACCATTAAACTTACTTGGCTACCAAGATGTATAATATCTTCTGTTGCTTCCAAAGCGTGTAATGGGAAATTTCTGAGACTTCTTAGCTGGAGGAGATAGTATAATATAAGTATCGGGCTATGATTCAGCTGGGTATGCTTTTCAATGTAGGTCGATGAAAGAGCGAGAGTCCTCTAGACTTATCCAATATCCACAGAGATATTTTCTAAGTAGTGACTTTGGTAGATACATTTGTTACCTACACCGCAGTCATAGTGAAAGATGGGCTACTTCGAGGAACGCAACATGAAGAAGAGTAAACAAACATAAAAACAAACATAACACATGGAGGACGCCATTTAACTCTGGGAGAGGCTGCAGTACTCGGATTCTACCACGGAAGATGCTCCATTACCAGCAACATGACCAGACTTGGCCACAGTTCGGAGGCTCTCGATCAGTGCCTCTGTGTGAGCCTCCTGAGACAGTATCTCGGTTAACTGCTCAGGGCTTATGAGTAACTTCACCTTCCACACACCAGCGCTGTTGTATCTAGGAAGCACCTCAGGGTCTGCCTTTCCGGGCATCATTCCCTGATGATCGAGGGAAATGCGGTAGCTGGGTCGAGATGTAGCCGATATGGATCCCCTAAATGACTGAAGTGGGAGCAAGTAGTACAATTCTCCAGGATGAAGCTCTTCGTTGTGAAGAAGAGGGCCTGAGAAAGGGTCACTGCTCCGGAAGATGGCATGACCTGGGAATTCATTGGTGATGCATTGCGGTGTGATGGGTGCCTTGAACTGCATGATGCCACTGGCAGTCGTTGCCACTTCTACGATTTGTTCGACCTGCCGAAACCCTTTACTAGAAAGGCAATTGCCCATGTTGCAGATCGAGCTAAGTAAGCTACTTCTTGTGCTTGCAGCAGATCAAACTTATATCCTAGACGGATAGAAGTCGGAGATCATTTGTTAATGGATGTGTACGTGTTGGCTGAGCTCGCTGCTGCCTGAGGCCTCTCCTCTCCATGACAGTGATTCCAAAAGACACAGAAGTTCTCTTCTCTGTGACTATCTATATATAAACCAGGATTGTGTGATGATGGCCCCATGGCACTGCTTGATATTCCTAGTCTTGGCCTTAATCATCCATAATTATTGTTTAGTTGACATTTGAAAAGGGCCTTATGCCGTTGTGTTTACTCCGATTACTACACCGATTACTCAAGATTCTCTTGCCCCGATGCATGAAATCACATGTCATGTAGAATAGAAAAAGAGTATTTGCACGGGGCGAAAGAAAACAAGAGACAACGGTAAAAAGAAAAGGGGCTGGAGAAGTGGGGGAAGAGATAGGTGAGAATTCCCGTTGTCAATGCAGGCCATCATTCCGTTCATTCCTTTCGGCTCTTCACTTGCCTGAAAAGAAGAGCATCATAATATTGTTGGGCCTATCCTCTAAACTCATCATAAACACATTAAAGGGTCCAAATTTGGACACATCGGTCACTTAAACTTGGACGTATGGGATGAATTACCTGAGGAATCCCGGGCACTGTCCTGTTCCTATTCTATTTGTTGATTTATCCAAAGAAAAGAAAAAGGGTCAGAACAGGGAAGAAATCCCATATCATAATTTTGTTCATATGCTTTCAGAATACGTAAGATATTTGTACGTAAGATTTTGGTCCACCTCTAGAAAAGGTTGAGTCATACTATGGTTGAATCTAGATGGAATGGTCACGGCCCAGAAGGGGTAAAACGGAAATCCAAAGTAAGTTATGACATTCCGTGACGGAAATGATTGGTACGAAGGTGGTGATGGAAGGAGGGACGAGGGAAGATATTTGGGAGGTGCCCTGTTTTGTGGAAGTTGGATGGACTGTTGCTCAAAAATGAAAAGCTATCCACAGGGAGGTGAGAATAGGCTCTGGTGCAGCCATGTCAGCAACAATATCCGTACCATAGCAGCAGCAACGAGTGGCTCTCTCCCTCCCCTCCAAAACACATAACCTTGACCCCCTCTCTCTCTTGTTTGCTTCGTTGTGACCAGGGGTGCGGAGTTTGGCTCTTGGCAAACGAAGATGGCGTCGACCAGCACCGTCTCATCCTCCTCCGCACTGTCGACGCTTGTTGTGGACGGCAAGGCCCCTCGTCAACCTCAGCCCCAGAAGAGCCAGACCCTCCTGACCTCCCTCCCCCCTCCCCCTGCTCTCCACTCTCCACCTCTCTCTTCTGCTTCCGCTTATTGTATGACATTCCCTCGTCTCTCTCTGTCTCGACTCTACTCTACTCACTGTCACTGATCCCCTCTTTTCTTCTTTTTTTGCTATACAACGCGTTCTTCTTCAGGTCGTAAGATTGCGCGCAATGTGGCGGCTATGGCTACTGGTGAGGCTCCTGCCGAAGTCGCCGCCGCCGAGCTCCCTGAGATTTTCAAATCCTCCAAAGAAGCTGTAATTCTTCCACTCCATATCCGCCGTTGTTATATTTGTGCCCTTGTCATAAGAAAAGGTTAAATTGTGAAAGTTGATTGATTGGTCGGTATCGTGCCTTGTTCAACCAGTGGGACAAAGTGGAAGATAAGTATGCCGTCAGTTCGCTGGCGGTCGCTGGTGTGGTTGCCCTCTGGGTCTCTACGGGAATGATCTGGGTGAGGCTCTCCTTTTCTCTTTGTTTTCACTAAAGAAAAAGAAGAAAGATAGTCATTGGTACTACTGACTGAGCTCGTCGCGGGGGTCGATTCATTTTGGTTTCAGGCGATCGATAGGGTTCCCCTGATTCCTGGCGTTCTTGAGCTGGTGGGCATTGGATATACTGGGGTGAGTTCATCAGGCTTCCAAAATCTGCTTCATTAGTCTTCCCCCTCCCCCAAAATCAGCATAATTACCCTCGTTCTGTACAGTTTATGATTGCGATGCTTCTTTCTAAAAGCGATTTAAGAGCTTATGCCATCAGGTGAACATGTGGATTCATGCCATTTGCATGAATTCTACTAGATGTCCTTTTTAGCCTCGATCAACTGAGTTACTGCGCATCTCTCAGTTTATACATATATACATCTGATAATGTGCAGCCATCAGTGTGATAAAATCCGTAATTCTCATCTCCTATTGCCCTTTTGTGTCTACTTTTGCAGTGGTTTGCGTACAAGAACCTTGTTTTCAAACCAGATAGGTAAGTTGCCAAATTTGATTTCAGAATTTTCACTCTGAAACTCCCAAGATATCCTGTAGTTTTGATCTTGGGAGCGTAAGCCTCTCCAAACATCTCAGACCTGACATCAGGTCAATGACATTTCAGGGAAGCTCTATTCAGGAAAATCAAGGACATATATGGTGAGGTTACTGGAAGCAGCTGAAATGGTGGTTGCTGGCAAGAGGTGCAATATTCTCTGTTTCTGCAATTGGAATGTGCAGAGCACATGTCGGCATCAAGAACCTTAGACCAGAGCTATTTCCTGTAACGTTCTTCGAGTGTTTCTTATTATAGTCTCCACCAATATCCGTAAACTATTGGCTTTGTAAATTCAAAGCACCCGAAATGATCTAGTCTTGTTGCACTGATGTAACCGGGAAGGGCTATCATTAGTAATAAGCTATACCATTCATCTGATCTTCCTAGCAACAAAGTTGCTCGACTGTATTTTTATTTTCGGTCGATATCATCAGTTGGCAATCTTTTCTTTAACCTAATTTTAGCTAAGCTGTTGAGACCGGAAACCGGTCTTAATCAGATTGGAATTCTTCCAAATGTGCAAGCCGGAAACGCCGATACTCCATATGGAAATATTTAGTCATGGTCGAAATGAGATGGGAGCCACCAATTCAGTGGCCATAAGCTTTTCCTGTGGGATCAGATGACTGCCCGATTGATCTGCTGAACTAGCATCTGACTATCTTTGCCTTGCATATTGGTCGCAAACCACAGAAGCAGGCTATTGTGTTCCTTCTCGCGGGTTCCTTTGTGCGGAGGGTTCTCTCTTTAGATAGGTGGAGGCACTTTTGAGATAATCTCCTCCAAAACTGAGGAACTTCAGCCAGTGCAAATTTATCAGACAGGCATGTATTTGAATAGACGGGGATGTTTCGCCTATTTTGTGGCAAATGATGAAGCGCGTTTTATAAACTTCAAATTCTAAGAAATTGGCATTTTATGAATGAGATGAAGTGTCCGGGGGGGTGCCTTCTTGGAGGCTAAGTGGTGAATGGTGCAATGATCCTTGATTGTTTTCTCTCTTTCGACTGCCTATTCACCCTCTCTTACCTCTTGGAAAGGAAGAGATCGTTGGAGGCGGATCAAAAGTTGATCGTAGTGGTGCACTATAGACTTTATTCGGCCCTTTTAAGCACTTGACCAATCCCATTGGATCTTGCAAATGTCAGGTTTTATTCAAATGTCATTTGGAGAACAATGCTAAAGACATTAAACCTTGATTTACAAATTGGGTCAGAAAACTATGAATATTTAGATAGGTGCGCTATATTAAGCTGTGAAAAATGAAATTCCGACACTATTACTTCGTGAATAAATTTACATCTAACTTCAATATATATCTCCAGCATCATTCATTAAGAAATGTTGAGGATTGGACTCAGTTCTGCAAATTTGCCATTGACAGACCGAAAAGAGTTGTGCACACTAGTGAGGTCAAATAAAGAGATTTCTCTAGAGTGGACAAAGTGACATTGGAAGGAGATTGTCTCTTACAGTTTTGCCTTTTGCCATTTTCAATTTTCCGGCGCACACAATTTGATTTTTTAAATTTGAAACACCCGAAACTTTTAATATACATAATTTACATAAAATGTTGATACTTGAAGTTCTTAACGTGCAAAATTGAATCCTTAGAAAATCAAATTTCACGATCAAGAAACACCCTTGGACCGCCTCTAGGAGTCCATCGTCCTATTACTTATCCATATCGTGAACCAAAAAAGTGAGTCCCCGTTGCTCTAAGAAACCCACGCTCTGGATAATGCTAAATATGTTAAGATTGATCTAAAAATACTTCATATCCCAAGCGATGTGTGAGCCATAATTAACACCTCGCAAAGACAAAGAAGCATCACTTGGTACGAAACTTTGGAAATCAAATTTTATTATCATAACAACCGCTAACGATGTTTAGAACTAAATTGACACAAGTGCAATAGGTTCATGACTTTTTTGGTTATTTTCCCTCAAGTTCCAAATCTTTGATTTTCTGCTTCTATTAGTTAGTCAGAGATTTTTATTTTTTAATTTGACAAAGCACTGATTTATTAGCAAAAAAATATGATTGACAAAGGCTCATGATAATCATGCATACTTATAGAAATGGGCTTTTAGGGCACGCATGGAATCCATTCTACTCCATAAATCAAATTCTTACCAGAAATTGATTTATGGAATTCTTGCTAGAAATTGATTTTTGGAGAAGAAATCTGTTTGATAAAACAGAACTAATTCTGCTCCAAAAATTGATTTCTGGAAGAGAAATCTGTTTGATGAAACAGAAAGAAATATCTGCTTTTGGAGGTGCCCAAAAATATAAATTTCACTCAAAGTGGGTAGTTACAGGTATTCCAAGCCATTTTGTGAAATTTTAAAATTTTTTATTTTTGATTTTTTTTGGGCACCACAAAAAATTTAAATTTCACTCAAAGTGGGTGGCCACAGGTATTCTAAACCATTCTAGGAAGTTTTGAAGTTTTTTATTTTTTGATTTTTTTTCGGGCACCTCAAAAAATTTAAATTTCACTCAAAGTGGGTGGTCATAGGTATTCTAAGCCATTCTGTGAAATTTTGAAATTTTTTATTTTGAAATTTTCTTTTGGGCACCTCAAAAAATTTAAATTTCACTCAAAGTGGGTGGCCAAATGTATTCTAAGCCATTCTGTGAAATTTTGAAATTTTTGATTTTTTGATTTTTTTTGGGCACCTAAAAAAATTTAAATTTCACTCAAAGTGGGTGGTCACAGGTATTCTAAAGCATTATGTAAATTTTTTTTTTGATTTTTTTTGGGCACCTCAAAAAATTTAAATTTCACTCAAAGTGGGTGACCACATATCTAATCCATTTTGTAAAATTTTGAAATTTTTGATGTTTTTTTTTGGCACCTAAAAAAATTTAAATTTCACTCAAAATGAGTGTCCACAGGTATTCTAAGCCATTATGTGAAATTTTGAAATTTTTAATTTTTTGATTTTTTTTGGGCACCTCAAAAAATTTAAATTTCACTAAAAGTGGATGGCCACAGGTATTCTAAACCATTTTGTAAAAATTTGAAATTTTTGATTTTTTGATTTTTTTGGGCACCTAAAAAAATTTAAATTTTACTCAAAGTGGGTGGCCACAGGTATTCTAGAGCATTCTGTGAAATTTTAAAATTTTTTTATTTTTTGATTTCTTCAAATTTTTGATTTCTTGTAAAGAAGGAAATTTGGGCTAAAATACATTTTGGAAGAGAGAAGCTACAAAAAGTAACTTCTCTTTTTTGGGCCAAAACTCATTCTGGAAGCAAAAATTCATTCCAGAGCCAAAAAAAGAATGAAATTTTACCAAACGCATTTTTATTCCAGAATGCAAAAGTTGCTTCAGAATGCATTCCAGAAATTTTTTAACAAATGCATTTCTGTTCTGGAATGCATTTTGGAGTAGAAATTCTGCTCCAAAATGGATTCTATGCGCGCCCTTAGTTTCCGAGTCCCAACTTTTGATTTTCTTCTTTTGGATTTGTTTTCATTATGTTTGTTGGCTGGAGATTCATATAAACTGTATTTACTTAACCACTAATTCATTAAACAAAAAGAAGTTGATAAGTTTAATTTTTTTTGCAAGAAGAAGGTGATCAATAATAGCCATATTTCTTTATTTCAACTGAAAAAGTAATTGAGTTATTTTTCGTACTTCTTCTATAATTATCATAAGATTCTCATATTCTCGCATAACCATGATCTTGCAACTATCATTCCCAAAGCCCGGTGACCCTTGTTGGCCCCGGGCGAGGCCCCGATCTGGGGGAGGGCGCGACCCTTGCCCCAGATTTGAGCGAGAATTGTCGGCCCTCGCCAGGGACCGATGGGACCTTGCCCGGGGTTGGCGAGGGTCAATGGGCTTCGAGAAGGCCCAAACGACCTCCGCCGGCCCTTCTCGACAGTTATGGCGACAGCCACCAGCGAGTGCTTGGCCACTGCCGCTGGTTGTAGGTCCTTTCTTTTTTTTTAAAAAACTTTTAGCTTTTTTTTATTTAATTTATATTTTTTTATTTTTTTATGTGATGCTTGTTGGGCGCCAAATCATCGCCATGTGTTTCAAGAAAAGTAATAAAATAAAGCACGTCAGCGCCACGTCAATATTTTCCATTAGTAAATTAGACTGTGTTAACTTTAGGATTCGATTGAATCAATTTGATAAGTTTTAGGACTCGATTGCACTTTTTGCAAGATTTATAACTCGATTGCACTTTCATAACAAGTTTTAGGACTTCTAGTGCATATATTCCATATATAAAAAAAACATGCCATCACATATTGTATATACTTTAAAATCACAATAGTTTTCTCGTAAACTTCGATTACTTTTTACTAATAAGTTTTCTAGATTTTGGGTATATGAAATTGGAAAAGATATAATCTTTATTTTATAATTTGGGTACTGTGAAAATACACCATAAATCAATTGAAGTACCACACGCGGGTTAATGGTCTAGTTACGAAGTTTCTCCACTGGCTAGATGATAAGATTGCGGTGGAAACACACAGACATGCCTAATCATGTCAAGTATGTGAAAGAAGGCCATGGCCAAGGAGTTGATTGCGCTGAAAGGTAACTGAGTATTCGAGAATAAATTTAAAAGATGATGCTCGAAAAAAACTATATCGTATAGATGAGGATGAGTTTTCTTCATCATTTTCTGAAATTTAACTCAAAGTTAATAAGAGATAAAGTTTAGGGATTACCAATTGTGACGAGCACATAAACTAGGGGTGAGCGGTTCTAGGTCCCTTACAGGTTCCACATAGAATCTATCCTCGAGTATAGGCTCCTCATTTTTTAAAACTTAGAACTTACCCGTTGGAACTTGGAACCAAGTTCTAGGTTTAACACGTTCTTTTTTTTTAATGTCATTTTTAGTTAAACAAAACGAAAATGAACGTAACAATACTGAACAAGTTTGTTACTTACCAAAGAGAATACAAAAGACTAGTTTTCCTGGCATTACGGTTCAAATAAATACAATTAAAATGAGAAGTCATTGCGTGAGTCGATACTAGGGGTGAGCGGTTCCATGTTCCGTATTGGTTCCACCTGGAACCTACCCATGATAATAGATTCATCATTTTTTAGAACCTAAAACCTACTATGTCACAGGGTCTACCCAGGGTTCCACCTATAGTATTAATTGAACAATTGCAGTGAATCATCACCTTTGATGACCACTACTTACTGCTATGATCCACCGATCACAACTTATATTTATACACACGAAAAATATGAAACGATAATAAGTTATAAAATGAAAGCTCAGACTAGTGGTTCCAAATTATACATTCATCATCTAACGCCATTAAACACCGCAGGATCACGCGAAGACAGATCAATAAAAAATCCAAAAAAACTTTTTTAGGTTTCAGGTTCCACTTACGTATAACCTGGAACCTACCCGTCGAAGCAGGTTCCCCAATTTTTGATATCTGGAACCTATCCTGAATACCTTGAAATTTAGAACCTACATGTTCCCGCCGGTCAGGTTCTCAGGTTTTAGATTCTATCCTGGAACTATGCTTATCCCTAACATAAACGGACATTCTCTCAATTCCAATTTTAGATAGATAGATAGATATATTATATGATTGATTTTAGCTATCACAAACACATTCTTGTGTTCATTTTCAGCTTTTTAACTCAGTAAAACGATAAACACATAGCAATCTTCGGCCAGAAAAAGGTCCATGACACTAATAGAATTTGCGTATGTATGTGGGTTTTTTTATTATGGGAAGGAGAAGCTAAAACTTAGTAAGAACTCGAAAAATGATATCGAAAATATAATGCTAGTTACACACACGTATGGTAGGTGGGAGAGAAACAAAACACCATAAATGTTTGCACAAACATCTTGACTGGCATACCATAAAGTCAACGTAATTTGAGATGCTCATATGACGAGAAAATATTCAGTGGATTGTAAACGGCATGTTAACGGTTGATTTCACTCTCATTCACTAACAAATGGACATATAGCTGCTGATGTGTATTAAAAAGATGACATGGAATTTCTTTTTTTCTTCCTTCTTCAACAACGCACTCCTTCATCTGGGTTTCCATGGATGGCGGCGGCCGGTATGGGCGGCCACGGGCCGCCCATCCACTGGCGACGGCGGTACGACCTCTCGTCACAGATCTGAAGACGCGCAGGAGGGGTGGCTATGTACGGTGGCTCGTCCATAAATCGCGCGGAGGTCGGCCATGGACGAGCGTTTCGTCTTCCTCTGTTCATCCACGAACGAACTCCAGATCTGGAGCAATAGGTGGACGAACTTTAAATCTAGGGCCCAATGACTCAAGGCACCATCCATGGCCGCGAGAGAACACCAGATCTGAAGCCATGACTTGAGCAGGTTGGGCGGCCATGGACGGTGGCTCGTCCATAAATCGCGCGGAGGTTGGCCATGGACGAGCGCTTCTTCTTCCTCTGTTCATTCACCAACGAAATTCAAATCTGGAGCAGTAGGCATCTTGAAACACAAATCGAGAAAACCCCACGCAGTTCACAGAACTTCATTCCCAGAACTTCATCCCGTCGGTAGGGTCAAATGACTCGAGCCACCGTCCATGGCCGCGAGGTTTTTGAAAGAACGCCAGATTTGGCCGCGGAGGTCGTCGCTCATATCTGTGGACGAGAGGTCGTCCATGGCCGACCGCTACTCTGCATCTCCATATCTGTGGACGAGCGCTCGCGGCCAAGACTTAGCCGCCGGGACAACGGAGAGGGTGGACGCGGAGGTTGGCCTGGACGCGGTGATCGACCGTCGTTCAACAGCCAGATCTGGTCTGCTGCTTAACAGCTTTCAGCTCGAGTCTCGGCTCGTCCATGGTTGCCGGCGACAAGCTCAACAACTTTGCCGCGGACGGTGGTGGCCACGGTGGGGCGGTGGCTCAAGGATGGTGGTGGCGGTGGCTCAAGGATGGTGGCGGCGGCGGCTTGGTGGTGGAGGCAGCCAAGCCCAGCGGAGCGGAGGTTGAAGGAGGAGTGCTGAAGAAGGAAGAAAAAAAAAAGAAATTTCACATCATTGTTTTTTATACACATCAGCAACCATGTGTCCTTTTGTTAGTGGATGAGAGTAAAATATGCACGCCACGTCAACGGCTGACGTGGCGCTTGCAAACCACTGAATATTTTTCTCGCATGTGTCTGGTCTGGCCCTGCTTCAAATTTGATCTGGGAGACCACCTGCTAAATCACAATTCTAATGGTTTTGTTTTTTTCATTTATTTATTGCTAAAGAGCATAGTACTAATGTTGAAGCATGATCAAGCGGATTCACCGGAGAAGGAAGTGTAATAACCAAATGCCGCACCACTCCAACGTTGCAAAGACTTTGCGAAGATTTGTGGACAGCGATGATGATTATAGTGGTGTTGAAGGAATTGCCAGGTTTTGCGCATCTGGGGAGGAGACATCCACGGATCCAGGATCTAAAAATAACCAAACAAACCCCACCCCCAACATGTGGAAGCACAACCTGTCTCCTCTCTGCTTAATGCTCTGACAGCCAAGTTCATGTTTAACCACTCACACCCCTCGCGTATATAACATATGCCCTTCTCTTATGTTCCTCTTACAATCCTTTCTCTCTCTACCTCTGCAGGTACGCTGTCCTTCTTGCTTGCATCGGCACTGATTTCTTCCTTGTGCTTCCTCACAAGAGCCTGTATAAAATTATAGCATCTTTCTTTGATCCTGGCGCAGTTTAGTGTAGCCTATTTACTTGTTAGGCGAACGTAAGAATTGTGACGTGATGAGATGAGACATATCTCCACTTCTTAAGTTTCGAATCCAACTCTTGTCTCTCTCTCCCCGCAGTCTCTCACCAAGTCGAAATGAGTGAAGGTGATGGAAGCCCTTCAGATCGACCAGTCCCGCGCCTGAATGAGCGGATTCTTTCCTCATTGTCAAGGAGATCCGTTGCTGCTCATCCTTGGCATGATCTTGAAATTGGTGTTTCCCCACCCTTCAATTGCTGATAATATCGTTATTGTCAATATGATTTTGTGATGACGATAAACTTGCTAATATGTCTCCCTTAATTTTCTCTCCAGGACCTGAAGCTCCCCAAGTTTTCAATTGTGTAGGTTTCCATACCAACTTAATCATGTAAATGCGAGTGCTGATTATCATAAGCTTCTACTTTGGCTCCGAAGAGGAACCAAAATGTTTTCTTTCTAGAAGTCTATTTGAAAAGTTTCTAACTCGGTATACTCCAAGATATTCTGAATTTTGCTTGTCTGATCGAAAATGGAAATATAAGATTCATAATTCCTGATAGACGTGGACTTGGATAAACAATTAGTTTTTCTCAATTATCTCCTCAAATCTATTCGTCCCAGCAACATGATTTCGTGTGCTCTCTAATCTTTTTCCCTTCCTTTCTGCCTCTAACAATTAAGGTTGTTGAGATAACAAAGGGAAGCAAGGTCAAGTATGAACTTGACAAGAAGACTGGACTCATCAAGGTATGAGTTCATCCAAGGCAAAATCTCTCGTAGATCTAGCCCTGCTAAGTGTCTTAGATATGTGGAGATAGTCTGCCATTTCAATTCTTAGATGTTTCTACATCATTTTGTCTACGTTTAGTAGTTACCGTTCATGACTCGAAATAGTTGGAGATTTGGATGAAGGAGGAGAAATGATAAATGAACCTTACCGAGGGGATCACATTTGTCCGAATTTCAGTTTATTATCTCCTGCTTAAACAGTTTCCCTTTATGTTTCTTTACTGCCTCATTGCTTTCCTGAATCATTGTATTTTTATGTGCAGGTTGACAGGATATTATACTCATCTGTAGTCTATCCTCATAACTATGGCTTCATTCCCCGAACATTATGTGAAGACAATGATCCGCTTGATGTATTAGTTCTCATGCAGGTGATCTCTTTTACTTCTTCATTGCTGTTCAGTATATCTCCTCAACTCGTTAAACTAGACAAAGGGCCTTCTGCTATAATAGTTTTTTCTTAGGTTATTCAATTGCTAGTATTGCGATAGGAAAGGTTGAGCTGATTTGGTGGACTCAAACCAGTTTATCGACAATAGCTAACAGCGTAATTATGCATATGGAAATATGGTTTTTATTTTTTGGCTTTTCCACTTTTTAAGGAATTCCTCCTTTGTATGATCTAACATATGGCCCTTCTTCCCTGGCAATCTTGCGAACTTGCTCTCTGAGTGAAAGGAAGGATGAATATTGTAAATTCGTATTACTATAGCTAACATTCTGTAAGGAAAGCCATTGGTGAAAACCCTGCTTTGAGCTTCCACGGAAAGATGTTAATTGTTTTGAAAGCGCAACACTGTCCTCTCTAGGTTTACATTTCAGATGAGTTTTGGATGGTGCAAATCACATGATGTAAAGGCAATATAGGTTTAACTCAATGAATGAATTCAACAGGAACCAGTCGTTCCCGGTTGCTTTCTACGTGCAAGAGCCATTGGACTGATGCCCATGATTGACCAGGTACTTTCCCCTCCTCCAAAAGAAAAAAGACTATTTGAAAGAAACAAAGATGCCTGCACTTGCCTTTATATAAAGATTGGGTAATTTCTTTTGGTCTTATCCAGGGAGAAAAAGATGATAAAATAATCGCAGTCTGCGCTGATGATCCGGAATATAAGCACTATACCGACATCAAACAGCTCCCACCTCACCGCCTTTCAGAAATACGCCGCTTTTTTGAAGATTGTATCCTTTTCACCTTTGAGATTTTCTGGTGTCTGTGATTGGAAGTCCGCTGTTTTCCTTAATGATTGTACAGACAAGAAGAACGAGAACAAGGAGGTCGCTGTGAATGATTTTCTACCCTCATCTACCGCAACTGGAGCCATTCAGTATTCCATGTAAGTTCACAATCAACATTCGTTGTCTCAACACTATCAAGAAACCAAATAGTTGAGCACAAATCAGCAGATTAGAACAGGGACATCATATTCTGCTCAATTAGCACCTTTCTGCGCCGGTTCAGCACATCACGTACAATTTTTTCTTAACTAAGACTAATTTAACGTCGATGATGCAGGGATCTTTATGCAGAATACATATTGCACACCTTGAGGCGATAGACAAGTGTTGCTGGTGGCCCATTCAATCTTTGAAGATATTGAGGTGTTACATCAATTTTTTTTTTTGTTGGGGTATGAATAACTTGCAATTGTCTGGTTGCTTGGACATTTTGGTCCAGTCCAGGATGGAGAATAAGCATTGTATTATGATGGATTGTCTAAGATGGTAATAATGTATTGTTGGGACAGAGGAAGATGCTATATCTAGCATTGAGGTTCAATCTCCGAAATCAAGAAGCTTTTCATTCTTATAGAGTTGCTTATTTGTACTCGATGTATGCGCATTTGGTTGGAGTAAAGCCATCTCGCGGAAAAATGGTTTCAGACTTTTCACCTATGTAGACACCGGAAAATGAACCCGACAATAAGAATATTTTTTATTAATTATAATTGATAGGCTAAAACTTTGGAAAATAAATTTCTATCCCTTGACAAGGGAAATTATATTCTGAAGAGACACCACTATCGTGTTGCCAATGCAGCACCGGTGAGCAATCCTCTCTCTCTCTTTCTCATCTTGCAAATCATATTTTGATCAATGCTACTTTAACTATAACTTTTATGGACTCTTTTGCTTTCTTGATGTGACCTTTAAAAAAAAAAAGAACAAGTAGTACATAGCTAAGTTGATTTTGTCATAAATTTTTGAGTTAATACCACGAAAAATTCCAAATTGGTACGTCTATGATAATTTTATCCCGAATTACTTTTTTTGATCACAAAAAACTCCAAATTGGTGCACCTGTGACAAATTTATCCCTAACTATTTTTTTGACCACCAAAAATCTCAAACTGGTATACGTGTGACAATTTTACCCCGAACTAATTTTTTGATCACAAAAAATCCCAAACTGGTACTTCTGTGATAATTTTACCCCGAACTAATTTTTTGATCACTAAAAATCTCAAACTGGTACATGTGTGACAAATTTACCCTCCGTTAGTGTTCGTTAAATTGGATTAATATCATGAAAAACCACAAAATTGATAAACTTGTGACAAATAGAGGGGTAAAACCCAAAACCGGTACCCTTGTCAATTACCACGTGTCATTAAACTTAGCAATTTGATAGTAAAATTTAACGGAAACTAACGTTGGGTAAATTTGTCACAGGTGTATCAGTTTGGGATTTTTTGTTGTAAAAAAATTAGTTATAAAATTGTCACAGGTGTACCAGTGTGGAGTTTTTGATAATCAAAAAAATAATTCTGGGTAAAATTGTCACGGTGTGCCAGTTTTGGGTTTTTTGTGGTTAAAAAAATAGTTTAGGGTAAATTTGTCACAGATATACCAGTTTGGGGTTTTTCAGAGTATTAATCCTAAATTTTTTGTTACTTTAGTACTATTCACAATAAGCAAGCGAACAAAGGCCAATTTGAGCTTGCATATAGGATCTCAAATGATTTTAATTGCACGTGAAGCGAATTGTTTTTTAAAGTGAAATTAAAGCAACGGAAAGAAAGATTTTTCAGTCACATGCTAAGTAGATAAATAAAAAAAACTAATCAATTTTCCTCGAAAATGATCACACAGAAGACATTTTCCGCTGCCATTGAGTTTGCTCCAGGTATGGGCGCTGTCTTCATTCCATCCGGGAAACTGATGGTTTCGCAGCAAAAGGAGTGACCAAGTCTGTAATATTTCGAAAAGAAGTAATGCGTCGAGTACGACGTTGAGGTAAATCGTTAAAGAGGAGGCGCGGAATTCAACGAATCTTTGAAAGCCCTCAACGTATAAAAGTAATATGCCTCCGTTATCTTTATCTTAATACCTGCCAAAATCACTTCATCCGGTGCACCACCCACCAAAAGGAAGGGAAGGAAAGAAGAAGAGGACCGTATCTTTCTTGGTTGAGGCGGAAGGAGGGAAGGGTAATGCCTATTGCTAATCTCTTCCCGTCACTTGCCCAGTTTTGCTCGACTCAAATGAATGAAATTGTATATGGGTTCCTCCAGATTTTTCCCAACTCGCCTGTCTACAAATGCGTCAATTCTGAGCTTGACCTCTTGTTTGGTAACCGGTTGCATCAAAGGCTTTTCCCTGCTCAAGCTACTTCTATTGATGTGGCGTTGTTTGTAGTGATTCTTCGCTGAATTGAACAGGTATGGAGTATGGGGCACCTTTTGTTTTGTTTAGCAATGCGCCTGGCCTTTCTTGGTCCCCCTTCAACATCCCTCTGGGACCTTGGGCTTCTGCAATTTCACTCTCATACATCTTTTGGCTCCTCTTGCATACATGAACTGCTTATCATTTGCTGATTCATCCAATTTGACATCACATGGTAAAGCAATGGAATTGGGCTTTGGACTTCCGTTATCCTTCCCGCCTGCAAAGACGTATACCCGCGAGACCCATGGTTTTCAAACAAGTCGCCATGTCCCGTTCAAGCTATTTGATCAACGAGGAGCTCGTTCAGTGGCTTGTTGCGCCACCCAGAGAGCCCAGGTTACCTAATTCTCCCTTGTTTTGTTGTACACTTATGATTATCTCAGTATCTTTGGCTTACATGTTGATTTACTTCGTCTGAGCTTCAAGATACCAGAGCTTTCGTTGGAGAATGAGAAACACAATCTTCTGAGAGCTATCCAGGACACCCAGAGAGGTCTTGTTACCAATGCCGATCAACGTTCTAACATTGAAGAGGCTATGGCAGGCTTCGCCTCTTCTCTTTAATTTAAAAGACTCTCTCTCTCTCTCTCTCTCTCTCTGTATTAGTCATCGATACTCGAAGAGAAGGTTATGTGTCATACAACTGTTCCATATAAAACGCTGGCAGGTGAACCTCGAGTGTTACTGTTCCGGTGCACCAATTGATCTGGTGAAGTTGGATGGGACATGGCGTCTGCAGTATACATCTGCTCGCGATGTTCTCATTCTTCTCGAGTCTGCTGCTACTCTCCCTTTCCTCCAGGTAGTAAGACTTGAAATTTCTACTTCCTCTTGCGAAATAACATGCCACGAGCAATTCATTTCTTCCAGTTATTCTTGTGTGTTGCTGTGGATTGCCATTCATATACTCCTTTTTGTTTCTAGATGAGACAAAATCTTTGCTTATACCGGTCTTTGGAACATTTTCTTTCATGCTGTGCATATTAATTATCACAGCAACTTGGCTGTAAACTTATCCTCTGTAGAGATCAGGTGCATCTTTCGGGTTTTACATCTCCTGATACATGTACATTTGTCTCACATCATGTCCAGAATTTCTCCTACTTGTCATTTCTAACTAAATGCATTATTCTAGATTGGACAGATTTTCCAAAAATTTGATTGCCTGGATCAATCAAATGGTGGTGTTGTCTACAATGTTGTCAAATGGAGCATCCCAACCTTGCTAGAGGTAACTTTGTCCCCTTTCTACCTTCCATATTTTGTTGACTGACTTGGTAGGAAAATATTTTCGGTGAAGTATATATTTGCCTTTGAAACTTGCCATGAATCATAGTTTACCCAGCAACTTCAAATTTTGGCAATTCCACCTTGAAACTATAGTTGGTTTTCCTCTTTAAGGAGAATAATATCATTGGGTATTCTTTCTATGTGGATGGTCCTTTCCTGACTCCATGTATTTTTGGACATTTGATTGGAAGCCAAATCCGAGCTATGTTATAGATTAGTTTTGACAAACCTTTCATGGATAATTTCTTAATCCACAAGTGCTGCAACATTTGCTGGGATGACCAGAATGTCAGAACCAACTGTTTTGTTCTCAATTTGGAACATCCTATTAGGCTTATCTTGAGTAATAAGGAAATTCCCAAAACATTGTTCATTGGGGAAGCACCATATCCAAAAGTGGTTAAGGTGTAAGGGATCAGATGTAGATAACATAAGGATGTTGATTGTTTTCATTTTCAGAAATTTATTCTCTTTCTGGAAACAAGAAAAATCAAAATGAGGACCTTTCACTAAAAGTCACGATTCATGAAAAATATTATTCTGCTTCACTAGATGTTTCACAACAAGCCTTGAAATATATAAAAATTCTAAAGCCATCACTGTGATTGTTAGTGTGTGAATGATTAATAAATCAGCTCAACTTTATTTTACAAACTACATATATGAAAATTTAATTAATTTATCTGCAAGACAAGGCTTTCCTCGTCAATTTAATGGTAGATTCTGTTATGGAACAGCATTATGGAGCTCCAACGCATGATATGAAGGAGAACAGTAACTCTGAAATTGCGAAGTTCATTTTACACTTGGGAGTTTGGTGAGAGGGAAGCTAAATGTTTTAATAATTCTCTACAGATGGGTCAAAGTAACTTGAAAGAGAAACTGAAGTAAGTCCTTACAAAGCAGAATCTCATACTGCTTTTGTTTCAACTAACAGGAAGACAATGGTGTCACTCTACTTGTTTCTGCAAAATTTTCAGTGCTTTCTGCTCGGAACATTTACCTTCAGTTTGAAGAGGTCGGTACATCTTATTCTCAGAGACTCGTTACTTTTTTTTTTTGGGGTGGGTAGGTTGGTGTATGAGTTGGATATGGTGGAGTGAGCCTGAACTTAGGTAACACAACCAATCTCTCCTCCTCCATCTCCTCGCTTTTGTTCTCTGTATTTTTCTCCTTCTCCTTTACATTCTTCATTCTTCTCTTTCTCCCTTCCTTTCTTCTTCTCCCTCTTTTCCTATATATGCAGTTACTCATCCTCCTTTCCCCTCTCCCCTTCCTCTTTTCTGTTTAACTCAATTAGATGGATAAAATATGATGTCTTGGTTTTTGAGGCGGTTTTCTTATCCTGCCCTATATAGTGAAGACCATTTGCACTTTGCATTTATCCCTAACAGCTTCAATATAACATCAGTGTTGGAATGCCAGAATGTTCTATGATGCAATATGCTTGTTTCACCAAATATTTATGAAGCTTGTAAGACACGTGCAGGTGACTTTTGAAGATATAAACATCAGTGGAGAGCTGCAAGCTCTAATAGCTCCAGCGCTGCTTCCACGGTCATTTTTGAGCTTGCAGGTAACTTTTTGATGTTTTACTGTCGACCTGCTTTTTCTTGCTAGACTAGATGCATACAATTATCACATTCTTTGTATCATCAGCATATGATTGCTTCCTGATTGTCATGCTTTCTAGAGAACTTGATGCAGTTTACTTGTGTTTGCCAGCATAAGCTTCAGTTAGATGACTGCATTTTTTTTCGGATAAGTAGATGACTGTATTGTTGTCCACCCATAACATCAGTACGGGAATTCTGCGGCTGTTTTTTTCAATTCCCTGCCAATCTCTTAATAGATAACAAACCAGCTCACCATTCCTGGGTTAATGGGTGCATGATAAAACCTTTGGCTGGCTAGTGAGGGCTGGATATGTTCAAGATTCCAAAATTTGGAATTGTAGGTGGGCTTTGGCAGGGCCTGTGCGAGCTTGGGCCGGGCCTTCTTGGGCATGAACCTTTAGAGCGGGCACAGGGAAAAACATGGGTACATCGGGTCTGCCCATCAGACCTGAACTTTTAAGTTTTTGTGTTATTTGTTTTACTACTTTATCTATGAGTTTTATAATATTTTTCTGTCATCCATTAGTAATTTTGGCTTATTTTATCCTATAGTATTATAACTTTTAATTTTAAATTTTTTATATATTTTTTAAAAAATGAGTTGGCTGGGCTTGGAGTTTTGCCTGCCCAGTGGGCCTAAGAAATTTAGCTAGGCTCACCATTTTATAGGTGAGACTGAGTAGGGCCATAGGTCGCCTATCCGTTCATCGGGTCTATTGGTAGGTACATGGTAGGATCTAGGATATGAGGTCATTCTATCTCGTAACCATCCCGCATCCGTGCCCTATGAGAATAGTTTGTAGCGAGAATCCTATGAAATACTTGTCGATGAATTATACATTTCTTATTTTTGATACAGTCAAGTTAACGTAGTAACTATTTCAACCATGATTTAATATTCTTCTAGTTGAACCACTAGAATCTTAGAGTTAGGGAGTTCACGTGTATAGATATGGAGGTGGATGAAAACATAAAGAGATTTTTTTTCTTTTGCGTGGGGGTTCTACCTCTCTTTGTTGTACTTTTTTCGCTAATTGGACACGTTTGTTGGTTTCGTGACTTTACTCTATATTGACAAATCATATGTTTTCTACCACGTCATTTGCTGTCATTTTATGTCAAGAACCTTGGTAGCCATGGTATTTTTGGTTGGTAAATGATCGGAAAACTAATACAGAGTACTCTAAAACGTATTGAATCTCAATTTCACAACTTTTGGGGTATTCTCAGAGTGAACAAAGGATCCAAAAATTATGAACAAGTTGGCTCCAGGGAATGTTCGATTGTCTGCTCAATTTGAAACCTGCACGTTCCTAGTTACAATGGCGGTTGCTACTGACCAGGCTGCCCACATCATGTTTCTGCATGCTTTGCCAAAGTAAAACTGCGAGATTTTCTCATTAGAGCTAAAGGGTTTTCAAATGCAGATCTTGCAGTTTATTCGTGCTTTTAAGGCTCAGATTCCTTTAGGGAATCAAGATAGGTAATTGCACATTACCCTAGTTCTAGTTCTACTCTTCATGTGTTTCCCTGTTTGCTTATACAAATGGGAATATGAATCCACTTGCAGTCGATCAGTTGGTGGATTATACTATCTTTCGTATATAGATAACAACATGCTGTTGGGTCGGGCCATTGGCGGTGGAGGAGCTTTCGTTTTCACCAGAGCTCAACCTCTTTAGTCTTGACTAATGAGGACTACATTGGAAGTTTGCCCAGATGCCACAATGGAGAATACCTGTGCAAAGTGAAACTATCTGGAAAGTGCTACCACAACGGCAAGGTTTTATGCAGCCGATGGCGAATTTCTATTTGAATTTATTTGCCGTTTCATTTCTTTTCTATCCTCGGTTCATAGAAACAGAAGCAAAGCTGGTAGGTACTTTTGACATTACTGTATATTACCCAAACAGGATTCGCATACATTGCTGACTTTTTCATCAATTTGTATCCCTTCATATAAATTCAGGAGTTCTCAGATGATTGCAAAATGTTTTCCTTCTCTAAGTTCGTTTGATGACTCACGATCTGCCAGCTTGACGGTTGAAATGCACGTCTGATTAAAGAATTCCTACAATAATACTTCCAAAGTTCAAATTACCACCCAAATCCAATATACACATTCCGAACATATTACTTCACTGCGAAAGTAAATTATCATCTTGTATGGCCTTTCAAGCATTTTTACCACGCAAACACTTTGAAATAGAAATTGAAAGCATTATGTCAATGCCAACTCAGCATTTAATGGTTTCACCAACACACTATTGGTAGTGTAGAATTAAACCAGACACAAACGAGTTCAGAAAAAAAATTAAATTAGAGCTGACTGAGAAGCTACCGTATTTGAGATATCTCTGCAATCAAGCCCGAATAATAAGATAGAAAATTGTGATGAGCACCCATGGAGGAACAATTTTTCATAACCCTTTCCTTCCGACCAAACAATCTGAGCTCAGCATTCAAAGAGAGCAAATACAAAATGGTACAAAGAGCAAGCTGAAAAAATAGCAAATTGAGATATTGCACAACCAAGATTAAAACATTTACAAAGACAAGATAGATTTGGTTAAATAACAAGACTTAGACAATTAGCTGAACAACCTTAGCTAAGCATACTGTTCCATCGAACCTTAAGGGCCCCATATGCTTTTACACAGGGAATAGCCTGCAGTGAGGCAATTCCATTGATATGTCTTTCGCTAACTAGACCTAACCTCATCAAAGTGTCCATTGCTTTATCAACTGGCATGTCAACCTGCATGGGGCTGATATCCCTAAGCCACAGGATGCAAACAATAATGCATGAATAGGAAACATGCGTACCTGTACTTTAAATGTATCATACATGAATTTCTCACATTTGTCTCCAATGCACTGGCGAGCATTTACCTGCACTTACCACAACTGTTGATGATATTAAAGTAAAACAATACAGAGACTTTCACATGTGCATTAATTCATTCTAAAAGCTATTCATACATACTGTCAATCTGAAGGAAAGATGTCAAAGATCAACTAATTGCACATATATAAAGTGAGTATAATGGGATAATCCACATTATGGAGCATGTCATAGTTGAAGGAATCTCAGAAAATACAGCTGGTATTCCACAGAGTATGCGGGCTCAACAAATTCATAAAACAGCCGCTGCGATAGGTAAAAATTCATTGGATTTCTGTTGAAAGTTGGCTGTGTGTAAGCAAGAGCAGACTCATTTTTCAAGCAACAGGTTTTAGAACTTTTCTTTCTAATTAAAAATTGCATAGTGTCTCTTGATGTAAGAGATGAAGATAAGGACAGTAGACTGCCCTGTCCAAACACAGGCGTGAAGCAAATAAGGGCCGTGCGACAACTCAAACTCTTTCAGGGTTGTGAGGAGCCTCAGATATTGAAAGGACCGGTAATAGAAAGTGGCAATGCTTAGAGAAAACCCCCTCAAGCAATCAACAATTTTACAAACAGAAAGGAAAAGAGGGAAGTCTCAATTATATAGACATTGCACCTGATGAAGGACTGGTGAATATGCACCTAGCTTTTCAAATGATGCTGATTCAGAAGGTAAACAAAGAGTATTTTGGATAGCTAATTTGGTAAAGTGCACTTATCCTATAGATTCAACATGCTAGAAACTTGGTCATAACAGCAGCTAAAGCAAACTTTTACCATCAACATGCAGCACCTGGATCTGACACTACCAAAGCCATTCCCCATCAATCAACTCAAGTAATTTGTTTTCTCTCCTCTATATGTACATAATAGATTATCACTCTATATCACAGGCTGACTCTTTCTGAAACTAGCTTTTTATTAGAAAACTGAATGAAAAAAAAGAGGCTGGCAATTTCCAACACAAATAGACAATATCAAACACGAAAGCATCATGAATTGATACTAATTTATTATATACGAGTTTTTTTAAGCATGATTAATGAAAAAATAATGCTTTCCAATGACACAACTTGACACGATTACAAAACATTTCTCTGACACTTTAACACAAAGCAACTTCACAGGTGTTACTAGAACCATGTTAATGCGGCATGTACTGGGGAATTTAGACTAGTTGCTTTAAGCACACTCAGTAGATGAAGTAACATGCCAAACTGTTGGAATGTGTTACTTGCTAGCTGTAGAGTTAGCTGTCATAGCTATTAATTAGTGTTAGTTGTCATCCTATTAATTAGTGTTAGTTGTCATCCTGCTATCGACTATCTATTAGCTACCAACTATTTATTAAATAGGTTTTATTTCTAACTAGGTTCCTGATGTATAAAAATAGAGACTTATTGTAAAAACTAATAATAATACGTCAGTATTTTTTCCTTTAGCATGGTATCATAGCCCGAAGGTCCTTTATCTATTTACCTTGGGTGATTTTTTTTCTGGTCTTTCCCTTTGATCATTCGATCACTATGTCAGACGAACCATCAACCACCCAGTCTAACCCCCCATCACTTCTCACAAAGTCCACTGAACCTCATCCTATTCAGATCACTTTCATAAAGCTGAATGGAGATAACTTTCTTCGGTGGTCTCAATCCGTTCGAATGTATATACGGGGCAGGGGAAAGATTGGCTATCTTACTGGAGATATCGTAGAACCAGAGACAAACGACCCCACTTGGGCTGTCTGGGATGCAGAGAATTCAACGATTATGACGTGGCCGACCAACTCCATGGAAGAAGATATTGGTACAAACTATCTGGGCTATCATACTGCCAAGGAACTCTGGGATGTTGTGTGTGAGATGTACTCAGATTTGGGTAATCAATCTCAAATCTACGAGTTAACCTTGAAACTGGGTAAGATGCGGCAAGGAGAGGAAACTGTCACAAAATACTTTCACTCTTTGAAATGTTTGTGGGAGGAACTGGATTTATTCAATGACCATGAGTGGACGTGTATTGATGATGGTAATCGTTACAGGAAAATTGTAGAAGCAGAACGTATCTACACTTTCCTGGTAGGGCTTCGAGATGAGTTTGATGAGGTACGCGGCAGAATACTTGGGAAGCAGCCTCTTCCACCTATTGGAGAGGTCTTCTTAGAGGTTTAGAGAGAAGAAAGCAGATGGGGAATAATGCCGGGCAAGGCAGCTACCGGCGGAAAGGATGGATCATTGGAAGGTTCAGCATTGGCTACCTCCGAAGACAAGAAGAGCCGTGTTCCTACAACTATAGTCTCCGAGGCAAATGTAAGCAGAATCCCTGCTAACTTGCGAAGATCAGATGGGAAACCCCATATTTGGTGTGATGTCTGCAACAAACCCCGTCATACACGGGAGACCTGTTGGAGGATTCATGGCTGACCAGATTCGTTCAGCCGTGATAAGAAGCCATCTTAGTGTGTGCCTCCTACAACTAATGAGGCCACCGCATTCCCTTTCGGCAAAGAACAACTAGAGCATCTTCTGCAGCTACTTCAGGCTAGGTCCATATCGGGTAATCCTACTACTTCGATTGCCCACCAAGGTAGAAATCTTAATGCCCTCTCCTGTTGTTCGCAACCTGTACCTTGGATCATTGATTCAGGGGCATCTGACCATATGACTAATATTCCATATTTGTTCACATCCTATGTTCCTTGTCCCGGCAACCAAAAAATTCGAATTGCTGATGGGAGTTTTTCGTCTATTGCAGGCAAAGGATCAATTCCACTTTCTAATTCTATTACACTTCATAATGTACTGCATGTTCCTAAGTTAGCTTGTAACCTATTGTCTGTTAGTAAACTTTCTAAAGAGTCTAACTATCGTGTAGTCTTTTTTGCTTCCCATTGTGAGTTTCAGGATCAGATCTCGGGGAAGACGATTGGCAGTGCTAGGATGAGGGATGGTCTCTACTATTTTGAAGAGTTTGGCTTTGATAAAAAAGCTCAGGCATATGGAACTTTCAATTCTTCCTCTGTTCAAGAAAAAATAATGGTTTGGCGCCATAGATTAGGCCATCCTAGCTTTGGATACTTGAAACATTTGTTTCCTCATTTGTTCAAAGGTGTGGATGTTTCTTCACTACACTGTGACAATTGGGTTTTTTCTAAAAGTCATTGTACTCATTATAGTCCAAAGCAGTATTGTGCATCATCACCATTTTATTTAATCCATAGTGATTTTTGGGGTCCTTCACCCGTGCCAACAAAAACCGGGAAACGATGGTTTGTCACCTTTATAGATGATCATACTTGTTTATGTTGGACATACTTGATGAGTGCCAAGTCTGAAGTCGAGTCCCTGTTCAAAACTTTTTATCAAATGGTTGTGACCCAGTTCCGCACTACTAGTAATATCCTTCGTACCGATAATGGTACTGAATATTATAACCAGTTTTTGGGGAGTTTTTTAAGAGGAAAAGGCATCCTTCACCAGTCAACTTGCCGAATTACACCCCAACAGAATGGCATTGCCGAACGCAAAAATTGCCATCTTCTTGAAGTATCTTGTGCCCTAAGTTTTTCAATGCATGTACCTAAATACTTATGGGGGCAAGCTGTGTTAACAGCATCTTATCTAATTAATAGGCTGCCTACTTGGGTATTAAACTACACTACTCCCTTAGATTGTTTCAAACAAGTGTACCCACAGCTCGTATTTTTTCTGATATTCCTCTACGGGTGTTTGGTTGCACTGCATTTGTCCACCTCCCAAGTCAGTGTTGATCCAAATTAGATCCTTGGGCTGAAAAGAGCATGTTTATAGGGTATGCACCTAACCAAAGAGGTTACAAGTATTACAATCCACATACTGGCAAAATTCATATCACTATGGATGTCACCTTCATAGAGTCAACCGTTTTTTTCCAACAAATCTCTTTAGGGGGAGAATGCCTAAGTTAGTGAAGAGATTTTGTGGCACTCAAACTCTCCTGTCCTTCCCACTCCTTTGTTTGAGTCTTCGGAAACACCTTTGCCGAATCTTGATGTGTCAAAGACAAGGGGAGAAAAAGTTCAAGATCACAATGTGATCAACAAGCCCGAGCTTCAGGTTTATACTAGAAGAAAAACTCTTCAAAAGGTTGCAGATCAGAACTTTGTCTTGAAGCCCCATCTGTCTGCTGCCCTAGGAAATAATCTCTTGCCTTCATCATCAGGTGATCCTAGTAGTACTTTTTTTCCCTCCATTCCAGTCTCAAATTCTGATACTAATACTTCTAATCTTGATATGCCTATAGCTCTTAGAAAAGGGGTTAGATCATGTACTCAGCATCCGATATCAAAACATGTGTCATACCAAAAGTTGTCTCATCATCATAGAGCGTTTGTGTCAAACCTACCTCACATATCCATTCCTAGAAATATCCAGGAAGATTTGAAGGATCCAAAGTGGAAGATGGCAGTTGAGGATGAAATGCGGGCACTTATGAAGAATGGCACCTGGGAATTGGTTGATGCATCAGAAGAAAAAAAGATTGTTGGCTGTAAATGCGTATTTACTGTAAAATGTAAACCTGATGGGAGTGTTGAACGGTATAAAGCAAGGCTAGTGGTGAAGGGGTTCACTCAGACTTATGGAGTTGACTATTAGGAGACTTTTGCCCCAGTTGCCAAGATAAATTCTGTTCGGATTTTACTATCTTTCGCTGCTATTTTTGATTGGCCCTTACACTAGTTAGACGTGAAGAATGCGTTCTTGAATGGTGACTTGGAGGAGGAAGTGTTTATGAGTTTGCCACCAGGTTTTGTAGAAAATGAAGGCAAAGTCTGCAGATTGAAAAAGTCATTGTACGGACTTAAACAATCTCCAAGAGTGTGGTTTGAACGGTTCGGGAAGGTGGTTAAAAGGTTCGGCTATCACCAAAGTCAAGGGGATCACACTTTATTCTATAAACACTCAAAGGAAGGTAAGCGTGCCATTCTAATTGTCTATGTTGATGATACAATACTGACTGGTGATGACAAAGTTGAGTTGGAAAGCTTGCGAGAGAAGCTGGCTGAGGAGTTTGAGTTTAAGGATTTGGGTGTCTTGAAATATTTTCTTGAAATTGAATTTGCGAGATCCAAGAAGGGCATATTTGTAAACCAACACAAATATGTGCTTGATCTGCTCAAAGAAACAGGTTTATTAGGATGTAAAGCGGCGGAGACACCTGTGGAGCCAAATCTAAAAATTGAACCAGCCAAGGCTGAAGAAGTGATAGACCGAGAAAGGTATCAAAGGCTTGTCGGTCGACTTATTTACTTATCTCACACTCGACCTGATATAGCGTTTGCTGTAAGTATGGTGAGCCAGTTCATGCACTCACCAGGGCCAAGGCATTTGGAAGTAGTATATAGAATTCTACGCTACCTGAAGGGAAGTCCTGGTAAGGGCCTAATGTTTGAGAAACATGGACATCTGGAAATTGAGGTGTTCACCGATGTAGATTGGGCTGGAAGCATTATGGATAGGAGATCTACTTCAGGCTACTACACATTTGTTGGTGGAAATTTAGTCACTTGGAGGAGTAAAAAGCAGAGTGTGGTGGCAAGAAGCAGTGTCAAAAGCTGAGTTTCGGTCAGTAGCACATGGTGTCTGCGAAGTTATGAGGATTAAAGACATCTCGGATGAACTACGGATCCTGAGTTCCACACCAATGAAAGTGTATTGCGATAATAAGGCAGCAATCGCAATTGCTCATAATCCTGTGTTACATGAACGGACAAAGCATGTGGAAGTTGATAAACACTTCATCAACGAAAAACTCGATAGCAGGCTGATTTGTATGCCGTATATTTCAAGTGATGAACAGGCTGCTGACATTCTGACCAAGGGACTGCATAGAAGGCAATTTGTCCGTCTAGTGAGCAAGCTGTCTATGGAAGATATCTGCAAGCCAGCTTGAGGGGGAGTTTTGGAATGTGTTACTTGCTAGTTGTAGAGTTAGCTGTCATAGCTATTAATTAGTGTTAGTTGTCATCCTATTAATTAGTGTTAGTTGTCATCCTGCTATCAACTTTCTATTAGCTACCAACTACCTATTAAATAGGTTTTATCTCTAACTAGGTTCTTGATGTATATAAATAGAGACTTATTGTAAAAACTAATAATAATACGTCAGTATTTTTTCCTTCAGCACAAACATTAACAGGAGAAAGAGAAAACCTGGTCTTGGTTTGCTTTTAGTAGGATCGCATAGGCCAAAATAGCCTCCTTGTACTGCACGCAGCAATTAAAGGTGGTAAATTATGGAATTTAAAATAAATAATTCTTCTTTCACTCTTAAAATGCTTTGCTTTACTGTATTGATAATATTAATGATTTGAAAACCTGACAAAATTTGGAAAGTAATCCAGAAAGGGAACAGTATTAATTTGGCTTACTCCCAATTCAACAGAGCTAGCTACTGATCAGGTTTAACATTATTTTTTGTCCAACAAACCTATCCAGTCTGATTCTTAGAACAATTGTATTTACTCCCCTTATTGCATTAAGTCCTTTCAAAAGAATGTGTTCACGTACTTGACGACCAAGTTGCATAATTAATAGAAAAAAGTTGAAGATTCAATTGCCTAAAAACTGAAGCCATTTGTCCATAGTTCCAAAATATGTACTGCTGATTATAGGCTAATCTCATGCCTTGAAAGAAAAAAGATATCTTCTTACCTGCTGCTGTTCGGAAGCATCCAAAAGAAAATGAACAGAGCCAAATCCACTAGCTAGAGTTTTCTCATAAAGAGTCCTGTTCACCAATAACTGTAATAACAGATCACCAAAGATATCATTAGTAAAATCTCAACTAACAGTAACAATAAAAAAGCATGCATCTGTAGTCAAATCATCACAGAAGAGTAAGTTATATTTGCTTACTTGATACCTATCTCGTGTCTGCTTGTAACCCAGCACTACACGAATCAGAAATATAAAAAGGGCGCTAATGGCAATTGCATCAAGAAATATTGCCGACCTACATTTAATTTTAGTGGAAAATTTGAGTATTCTGCAAAGGAGAGGCTTAAAAAATTGAAAAATTCTGAAATAATCATCATAGAGACAGAAGTTCAATCCAGAAGCAACATTGAAGTTATTTTGAAATAAAGAATTCAGAATGGAAGGGTTTGCTTTGACCGTTAAGAGCAGGTAACCAATCTTCTTCCTTGAATCCTCTTGTTCCCTTTTAGTCCCCTAATCTATTTTTTTTCTTGCTCCACTATACCACATAGCCAAGCCAACCCAGTCAAGATTTTGAAGAACAGGCTGAAGCTCCTGTAATACTTTGTGTCGTTTCGATTTAACGTAATATTTCTTGCTGCTATTTACTCTGTATTTTGAACAACAAAATTTGCATCATATTAGTAGAGTTTCACTAATTACATTTCACCTCCATCTTAGTCAATGACCCAACGGCTTTCACTAACAATATAACCAACCTTAATAATCAAAATTTGTGGTCTAAGGCGCAGCAGTTTCCGGAGCATAGCAAGAGACTGCCATCTTTTTCATTTCATCTCATCAGAGATCATGGGATAATGGACAAAGCCCAATTAAAAAGAATACCCCTAAAGCTTGAAAATTGTCATCTTAAAATAGGCATAGAAACTTTTGGTTAAAAAAGAAAAAGGATAGCAATAAAAATTCCAATATAACCAATCTTTAGGGCAATCTGCATGCACTATGATAAGACAACTGAAAGGCTCAAAAGCAATGAAAATCATTAGTACTTATTATAATCTATGGTCATACTTACAAAACAGTCCAACCATGAGAAATCTAGCACTTAGGATATTGATCAATTTTTTTGCTTCCCTTATTTCCAAGATGGCTAACACTATTCGTTAAGTTCTGATCCATAAACATCATTTCTTATCCGTACAAACTCTGATACCACTTTATTCGTGAACTTCTATTCCTCCTACGAATATCCATCCATTCCTTCCCAAACCCAAACTAGAACTTCAGTGCCATCCTATATCATATGCGCACATCTGTCACACTATGTCTTCCCCAGCAAGGCCTCCTAGAGTCTTCTACACAATACATTCAAATTTGTAGTAGAAAAGCATCAGCTTGACACTTTAGTTTGAGAAGAAAACATATAAAATACGTTCTAACATTCCAATAGAAGACTACCGGATGCCCAAAAAATTAGGTTCTTTCCTATGTGCAATGTCCTTCTGAAAGGAAGATGCTTAAAAACAGGTGAAGAATTGTGCAAAGGCAGGAATTCCATACGGTGAGGATACTATATCTTCAAATTTGTAGTTTATGATGTAGGCCAGAAGTCCCAATACTGTGGCAATGTCCAAGCGCACCTACAAGTAAAGTGCATATCTGATCAATAACCTGATAGTGGACAAAACCTGATTTGGACAGTGCTGTTATGTCACACTGACCCATATGATCAAGGAAAATATGTAAGTCGCAACTACTCACTACTTCACAAAAATTCTTACATATGTAGTCAAGATAAGGCCTGTCCATGTCTAGTGTTCAACTAGGAAAAAGCCATGTGAACGTAATGGCAGATAGCACAAGTTCTCTAGGTACATAAGATTTCATTGGAGCTATGCTGCCAGCTTTTGAATAATAAATAACCAGAAAAAGGACAGAGTGTTGTTAGCCTACAACGATTGGTGGAGTATCAATTCCTGCAATCATTGCAGGGAAAACTGAGATTGAAAGATCAGATTTATAAAGATTATTGCTGCTTGGACATCTAGATCATGGGTGATCGGTTTCAGGATGTGTCAATTTTGAGGCAAGAACCTAGTACTGACCCTGGAGGTATCGGTTATACTTGATCCGCAACTGGCCTGGACATGAGCAATGGAAAATAACATACATCTATGACTGATTTTCACAAGAGAGACTCTACTCAGGAATTGGGCGATTCATTTCCGAGGCTAGAATCGGGAACCGAATCAATTACACTTGGCCGATCTCAGGTCGGTTTCCAATACTACTCGAGAATTCTTTTGTAAAAATCAGGTCATAGACGTCATAAAATATTTTTTGGAGATGTTGTCAAGTAAACTCTAGTTAGCTTAGTGGTATTATGCAAAGAGTGGTTCTAGATTGGTTCGAGCCTAGAACCAGCTTGGTTGGTTGGTTCCAAGGTCGCATAGGTGGTTCTAACATAAGAACCGGGAGCCAGACCAGATAAAGGCCAATTCCACGGTTTCAGTATCGAGAACTGGACCAATAATTTTGCGAACCAACCTGGAACCGGACTTGAACCGGATGGTTCTAGCTGATTCTTGGCTTGAAGTGGACTTGGTGCACACCACTAATCCAAACTCTCTAACTAACATCAAGAATATAGGGTGACAACCCATAACATGTAGTCAACAACAAGCCAGAATTGAAGTCCTAGAGCAATTTGTAACTCTTTTATGTGTGCACAAACCGCTTACAAGTAAGCAATTATCAGGAGTATCAAATAATAAATTTGGGGCTCATATTTTCTTACTTCAACACAACTCAACACCTTTCCTAAATATTATAAAGATCATTATGAGCTTCAAATATTGAGCAACGTAACACTTTTTAATGAGTACTGGGATTTAAGGTCTTCTTATCCAGTAGATATACATCCTTTGTACCTTCTTTATTTTAAATGTGATTAACCATGAAAGTTTTGTTCTTATCATTAACCATAGAAGTTACTTGAAATGGTGTAAAACAGGTAGAAAATTTTGGTTCTGTCAATTAAACAAGAACCTGTGGGTGATGTGAATGGAAGTAATTTAGATAGATCACTTTCTTTATTACGCCCTAATCTACTTCACTGAAGGAAGAACTAAATCTGGAGAAGTTAAAAGAAGTTCATTCAAGACATGATGAGAGCAGATCTTCTACATACCGTGTCTATGATACGGAATGATAGCCTTTTGTGAGGAAAGATAACCTAATCAATTGCAAAAAATGAAGAGAATTCAATCGTAGAAGTTGAGAGCTTATTGATTCATGTAGAAATATTAAGTAAATGACAAACATGGTAATGTCAGAAATCAAAAGTATTTACCAGCAAATCTGGAATAGGGATCCTCTCATAGATCTTTACTTGCAATGATTTAAACTCAGATTCACCTTGCACATCACTTTCGTTCACATCTTCAGTATAGAGCAATACCAACTCTTGGAAGGCTGCTTCCTAATAGCAAAAAGCTTGCTTAGTTGATAATATAAACCACCTAATAGTGCACATAGTCGTCCAATAGTACAGCCACACCACGAGGAATGAAAAACACATTCAAATGGGATTTTTCAAGATATAAAAATGGTTTCTCTCTCTAATCTTAAATGTAGACCACTATAGCCTTATTGTTTTTGTTCACCAAAACCTATTCAAAATGAAGTGGGGCATGCCATAGAGTTTAGAGGAAATCTCTTTTGGTTGTAGGGGAAGAAATTTGCTAAGCTAAAGAACAGAGTCTGGCTTGCCACACAATTTGCGAATAAAACAAAGGAAGTTAGCAGCTCAACTTGCATTGAAAAATAGGGTGGAATAAAAATTACCTAAATGAACTTGGTGTGGTTTGGTTTGGTAAACCGTATTAATGCAGTCTGTTTGGGTCGGTGTCCAACAGAATGAAAAAGGACTGTGCTCACCTCCACTCTCAACAGTGCAATGTTTTTTAATACCTAGTCAACGACCTACAACTTAAAAGGATAGATCAATGAAAGTATAAGACGTCGAAAAAGCAGTACTTTCATGAAGCTGAATACCTGAAGGGTAGATTGCGAGAGGAGAATGGAAACTCCGGTCTTCAACACTTCCCAAACATTGTTTGCCCTGTATTTTTCCGTAACTGGCCTCCATATGTCACTAAGTGAAATCCTGGATATGGAGATTGGCCTGGGTGAACATAAACACTTAATCTATTATGTTAAATAAAATGCATTCTAGTATCAAAATTTGACCAATAAAATATTGAAGGATTTAATCGACGAAAGGAAGAAAACTAAAATTCAGTTCACAAACCTTAAATAAGGTTCAGACTCATCATTATCACCCTTGAACTCGAATGGGGTTTCTGGCATTGGAGGCACAAGTCCAGTCCATGTAAGCAATTTCCTTAAAAGCCTTCCACGAGGTCCAGTTGATGATAAGATGCCTTCATAACGTTGCACTGCCTTTTGGGCTGCAAGCCAGATAGGGAGCTCCTGATTCAACTGCGATCCTACTTCAAATGTACCATCAAGGATCTCTAGAAAATCTGAGTTCTGCAACTCGGAAGCTTCTAAAACCCAATGCTTAAATTTCTTTGTCCAATCCTTGATTTCTTCAGTTGAATAAGAACCTTTCAATTTCTGTTTAACACAATAAAATTAAGCCATATTCTCTAAAGGGAGAAAAGCAGATGATGCATGGTAAGGCCAATTCGTATTCAGATATTGTCATTTTTTCTGTTAGGCAGTACAGTTTGACATAAGTAAAAAATGATTCTAGCTTTATCTCTTTCACATCTTGAAGTAAGTTCCTACATAGAAATTGCCTTATATAGAATTTACACATTATTAAATGAATCACATTTCTTAAATTGCAGAACCCGAAAGGCAAGCCTCGAAGAACCTCTTGGTATATTTGGTTTACAAAAATATTACAAACTATCATTTTCTCTTTTCATGGGAAATAATATGTTACAGAGTGTGCTTGTGACATATTAAGGAAATTGTTTTCGTTAAAAACAAGGAAACTGCAGTCTATTTTCAGCTAAAGCTTGGATGACAGGCACAATGAATTTTTTAGAATTTTCAGCCCAAAAAATTCAAAAAAAAATTACGACAGCTGAAAAACATAGTTGTCATTGTTCAAAACAGCCGTTTTGGACTCTTTTGTCAACCAACAAAAATCTTTTAGAAGTATCATTTCAATTCTAATGGATTAAAAAACATCGTTATCATTGTTCAAAACAACTTCCATGGATACGTAACAAGCTCATCCATGGAAAAGGAAATCACAAAAGTTCTACACTCTAACGGGGCAAAAAGATTCCGATCAAATTAGTTTAGCTCCTGAACTTCCATCTCCACAATTCTCCTTTATTTTCTCTTTCTAAAACGAGATTCATCTTTTGACATTTCCAACCTTCACTCTATATTCTTGATATCCAAAAAGTTCTTCAGATTTTATTGTTCTGTAGAAAAAGAATTCCAGAATGAAAAGCATATTTCTATTGAACTGAACTAATACAGCCTTCACTTATATCTACAGGCATTCAGTAATTACAAAGAAAAGATGAGGTCCTTGGGTGTAAAAACATGTTGCAGAGAAAAAAATGACCTCAATCACCCACGCCCCAAGCTTCCCCAATGGTTTTGATATGGTAATGAGAATTCCTTGCAGAAGTTTGGACTGTATGTAGTCCAATTTTTCAACTAACAGTAGGCCCTTTTGCCTCTCAGTTGCATAACCCCGCCTGTATGATATGAGGTGATAATGATAGACTGGAAAGAAAATGTAAGCCAATAGCAAGTCATCTACATAGATTCACTGAAGAGATCGCAAATGAGAAAGTCAGCATCTTCATATAGCACACTGCTGTAGAGAAGTTACAAATTTTTCCCACAACTAAGGTAAAGATCCATTGACTGCAGAAAAATATCCAACTAATGTCCTTACTTAGTACAATTAGAAGATCCAACAAATAAAATTTCACTCTCAGTATATTAGTAAAGAAGCTATTTAAGACATCCAAACACCTTCTTCTTTACTGGACTGTATTAATATAAAAGCAATTAGCAGTACAATCTAAATTTAATGATTCTATACTGGCAGAGTAAAAATCGAGATAACTCGATATATAGTGGCAGAGCTCTACTATGGAAACCCAACTTGATAGAAGTACAGCCAAACTTCTTGGTTGCTTTAGCTGTAAGAGAAACTAGCCTCTTATCCCATTAAGTGGGATCAGAACACACACTCGTAAATATATTTATGTGTTAAGCATTACGACTATACTTTGTATCAGGTTCCACAGTCCCAATTTGTCCAAGCGTTTGCATGTAAGAACAGAAGCATGCAATCTCATCTGAGCAGCTTCTTCACATACTTGATAAGCTGATATATAGCAAGTACTCTAGTACATGATGAGTCAAAGGAAGATAACTGCACGATTCAGTGATTGCAATCAAAATACATATATAGCAAGAATAAAACAAAATTGATAAAGAGAGCACATTTTAAGCACCAGAAACAATGACATGCTGCAATCATTTGTCCTGTCATCAGCATTGTACATCAGTCGAAACTATGCAACAGCGGATTGCATTGCAACATGGTTATTGAATAATAAATGTCCAACAGTAATACATCTTTTCAGTGGGCATTTCCGAAATTGGTGTAGAGATTGGTGAAGTATCAAACTTTCAACACCATTATCTGGGATATGTTTACCTGTATATTATAGCATTTGCCTTAGAAGCTCTCTTCCAGTCAACATATATGGGCAACGTAAGAAGATAGTCAGTATTCAATGCGGACGTCAACATTAAATCACTAGCCGATAGTTCTTCAAACTGTGCATTGCAAAGAAGTTGCATGAAAGCCCGCTGGAAACGAGTGGCCACAGCAACTCTAACAAAAATGGCCGTTGTGAGTCAAATTTGCCTGAGCACGAACTGGACTAACAAATTAATGGCGACTCAATGGATACTTAATTCACTTGAATTTTGAAGCACGTTTGCCGCTTTATGGCATCATAACTAACCTGGATGGATCACCACTGCATTTCCTCCCATTGTTTACGGAAGAACCAACCAGGTTCTTCAACATAGTAGCGGACAGTAGAGGAAATTGCTCCTCAACTTCTATCTTACCCTCCTCGCCATCCGTGGTCGTGTCAGACTTCATCTTATCGGCGACGAGCTCACCGTGCCTCCCACCATCAACCGATTCCTCCTTTCCCGCGAAAGCCGAAATGATGGAATAATCAGCCCGCATGTCTTCTAAAACGACTTTATGTTCAGCATGAATAATGGCGTCCAAACACCTTGGTCGGCGTCCAATGGAAGTAAACGAGTGAGGAACTACCATCAAGTTTTTGTGCGATTCGGTTAGGACGATGAAGAAGATGAGAGGAGTAGCAAGTAAGTCTTACCGAGACACATTGAGGAATTGAAGGGCGTCGTCCTGATTGTCGAACGCGGTCATCAAAATGGCGTCCAAAAGCTGCGCCTTAGTGATTGGGATGTACTTTTGCCGGGGCACTTGGACGACCCGCTCTGGTTTCTCTTCGTAGTCGTCGTCGCCATCGCCCTCCTCATGCTTTTCCGACGAAGAGGGCTCCATCTCAATCGGCAATTCGTGGCATTTGAGAAGGAGGTGAAGGGGACGCTGAGTAGACATCCTCAGCAAACGGCCGGAACGGGAAGAGGGAGATGCAGGCAAACAACAATACAAGGGAAGAACGATGCTGGTTAAGGTTTGACATGATGATGATAACATGAGAGTAGACGACGGGGGATTCCCACCCCACACTGCCAAGCTTCTTTCTCTTTGGAAAATTGTGTCTCTCTATATCTGGTTCGGCGAGATTATTTAATTATATTCTTTGTATTATTCCAAATTTTCTATAAAATACACCAATTGAAGACACCTCCTATTGACTCTGTATTTTTTTTTCTCATTTGACAATTCAATTCGAATGGTACTTTTATTGTGTTTAACAATAATTTTTCACTCAGTATTCCCGATTTGGGGTGGAAAAATCCTAAACTTTTTGCATTGGTACTAATTTAATTCTAAACCTTTTTTTGTGCCAATTGAGTCTTCCCCCTTTTATTTTTGTCCAATTCGTATTTTCGATTAATTTTGGTAGGATATCGTTGCATGGACGTCGGCAAACTACGTGTGCTTGTCGTCTTGACGTGGATAATTTTTAATAGTATTTTTTTTTTGATTTTTTTAATGATTTTTTTCCTTTCTTTCTTTCACTTTTGGCGGTGCACAGCCACCAATGGAATCGCGGCACGCACGATGCGAGGCTACACATTAACATCCCTATCCATCTAGACGAGAAAACACTGAGTAGTCATGCCCACGGTTCGGGAACCGCGGCCCGTTCGGTTCGTGGCCATGTATCCGAGCCCGGGAACAGGCGGGTTTGCCAGTAGGTTCCGCGTTCCGGATTCGGAGGACACTGGGTGTCCGTTGCTCGGGAGCCCGATTGTACGGGTGCATCGAATACGCGGCAAGACGGCACGTCGGATCTTCTTCTTCTTGATTTTTTTAATGATTTTTTTTCCTTTCTTTCACTTTTGGCCGGTGCCTGGCCACCAATGGAATCGCGGCACGCACGATCTGAGGCTACACATTAACATCCCTGTCCATCTAGACGAGAAAACACAGGTGAAGCAACTCTCGGCCGTACAAGCCTCACGAGGTCAGTCACGCACGCCGCTCTCTCTCTCTCTCTCTCTCTTGCTCATGACGCCTGTCCCACTCCTCCCCCAATCTCGAGATCTCTATCCTCCTCCTCCTCCTCCTCCTCCTGCTGATAAGGTTTTCTCTTTCCGACGCATTTTTCGCTTCTGCTTGGTGGATTAGCTGCTACTCTTCCATGATGAAGTTATTACGTCACAAGTTTTGTGGTATAAAACCCTCGAATCTTCATGAACAAGACTCGATTAGTCAGTCTTCTATGATGAAGTGTCAAATACAGGTGATTGTCTAGTTTGGATTTTCCTTTGCACCGTTACACCCACCGCCACGCCACCTACGCAGTTCGTCAACAAATGCACGAGCCCTTGATCTCCTTCCATCTCTTGAGAAACTGGGATCGTGACCCTTTTGAATCGTCTCCACCTCTACCACCACATGTGCTAATCCGTTTTGATTTTAGAGCGATAGGGAGCGCTCATTCTCGTCTTCTTTAGTAATCAATACTCAAGAAGCTTCTCTCTCCGTCTCTCTCGTCTTAGAGAGCTGCGAACAAGGGTTTGAAATTCAACCCTACATCCGTTGGACGTTGATGTTCGCGATTGGGTAAATACTGATTTCCAGACTAGACGGTGTTCTGATTTGAAACTGAGCTCAAGTGGAGCTTCTATGTGCAAATTTTTGCATGGCACCAAATCAAATTCTTGTTCAAAAGTATTTTCGGTCTGTTTCATGTTTGAATTGACAGTTTTGAAGTAATATGTGGTATAAGTTTGTCTATGATCGTCAAGCTGTTTATATCATGCATTTTAGATCAATCTGTCGTGATTTGTTCCTAAATCTGAGGGATTGAAGGCTTTGTTCATCTGATTATCCATGTTCCAATCAAACTTTGCAATTGAGTTGAGAAGAATTGAGCTAAACTTTTTGGCAATGTGCTCGATACATTGCTTTTTATGTCTATGATTTCTAGAGCTACTTAATATGTTTATTTTTCTACAATCACTACTCAATTGACTACAGGTGATCGGTTCCAAGGTAGATTACCCTAATTGACTTGTAGCCAACCCTCGAAACCTATCCTGTTTGTCTGGTCTGGTTACAAGGTCTACCCGGGAATCGGGAACCGATTTATTTTTTACTTTGCTTCATTTTTAAAAAAAAAAACCAAGACAAATAGCAATTCTAGCAAAATATTACAAGCAACAAAAAGGTTCAAAGTAAAATATCGATACAAAACAAATAGAAATATAAAGCTAAAAGGGAAGTTAAGATCATTGAAGAATAATAAATCATCTTTTTCCAACTTCAAAAATCAGGTACTATCCAGTTTCCAAGTCGGTGGGTGAATGGGTAGGTTCAACACCCAGAACCTGGAACCTACCTGCACAACACCGATTCCCAAAAATTTGGAACCGGGAACTGAACCTATTTTCACTAAAACAGAAACCAGACCTGTTTCTATGGGTGGTCCGGTCCGGTTCTTGGGTAGAACCGGACCGGGTGCACAGGGAGGAAGAAACCCCACCAAAAAAAAAAGAAAAAGAAAAAAAAGATGAGAACCGAAAACCCAAACCATCCTTTTGGGGGTGCAGTACTGGTCGGGTATTAGATCAAGTCATAAACCCCTTATATTATTCTAGTTTGGGTATTGGTGAGAACCGAACCAACTCGTTGACACCCTAGCTGAGGGTCCATAAGAGGAGAAACTCCATCAAGACAATGGATTGCCCACAGATGTAATTAATTTTACACAAGCACTAGTTTTTACAAGGTTCATTAAGAGAAGAAAAAAGAACCCAATAAGCTTCCTCTTCTAATGATAGACTTGATTTCGTTAGTATGAAATGAATCCAGAAAAGAGAAGAGGACACCAATAAGCTGACTTTCTTACTTTTCCTCCTTACTTCGTTAAGCTGTCTAACTATGATTATGGAATTTTTGTGGGAAACTACTCTTTAGATTTCAAAGAAATGGTTCAAAAACATATTTGTTCATGAAATTTCAAAGAGAGTGTTTGAAAACATATTTATTCTCGATCCTCCCTTCCCGAAAGGAAGAACGTGAGACTATAGCCGGCGATTCAATTCACTTATCTCCTTTTCTAATTCCACATTCTTCTCTTTTAATATCCAATTTTTCAGCAGCAAGTCATCTACCTATAAATCAAAGAAACCAAAACTTACACAAAGTGAATATATTTGCATATAAAAGAAGCAATTGAATAACATACAGCGCCAACTGATTATTTCTTAATAGAGTTGCAAGATGTAGATGGTAATTTAACATGCACGTCACATACCTTTCGGTGAGATGGTTAATCAATGTCCGTTTTCTAGTTCAATTTCTCTAGCAACGAGCAAGTTGTCGGCGTATCAAACATGTGTACTCTCTCCATCTTATCTACATCAGAGTCTGATTTTGCATAGACATCCTGTTAATCCACAATTTGTGGTGTCATTTTCATGAGCTTCTGCGAATGAGAAAACTCTAATTTAAATTTTAAGTACTCAAACAGAAAAGAAAATATAGTGGTAGAGAAATGATAAATCATATTACATGCAATACTACAAAAGAATTGGAGGGAAATAGAACGTCTAAGCACACATTTTCTATTTGAAGATTTGCCATCCCCGATTGTGGACTTGTCAGTAGGGGATCATCCATTTGTGGCGTCAAAACCTCTTCAATTATATGAGCTTCGAACATAATTGCAGTAGGTTAAGGGTTTTTTAGGGTTTAGGGTTTAGGGTTTTAGGGTTTAGGGTTTGAAGGGTTTAGGGTTTAGGGTTTAGGGTTTAGGGTTAGGGTTTAGGGTTTAGGGTTTAGGGTTTAGGGTTTAGGGTTTAGGGTTTAGGGTTTAGGGTTTAGGGTTTAGGGTTTAGGGTTTAGGGTTTAGGGTTTAGGGTTTAGGGTTTAGGGTTTAGGGTTTAGGGTTTAGGGTTTAGGGTTTAGGGTTTAGGGTTTAGGGTTTAGGGTTTAGGGTTTAGGGTTTAGGGTTTAGGGTTTAGGGTTTAGGGTTTAGGGTTTAGGGTTTAGGGGTTTAGGGTTTAGGGTTTAGGGTTTAGGGTTTAGGGTTTAGGGTTTAGGGTTTAGGGTTTAGGGTTTAGGGTTTAGGGTTTAGGGTTTAGGGTTTAGGGTTTAGGGTTTAGGGTTTAGGGTTTAGGGTTTAGGGTTTAGGGTTTAGGGTTTAGGGTTTAGGGTTTAGGGTTTAGGGTTTAGGGTTTAGGGTTTAGGGTTTAGGGTTTAGGGTTTAGGGTTTAGGGTTTAGGGTTTAGGGTTTAGGGTTTAGGGTTTAGGGTTTAGGGTTTAGGGTTTAGGGTTTAGGGTTTAGGGTTTAGGGTTTAGGGTTTAGGGTTTAGGGTTTAGGGTTTAGGGTTTAGGGTTTAGGGTTTAGGGTTTAGGGTTTAGGGTTTAGGGTTTAGGGTTTAGGGTTTAGGGTTTAGGGTTTAGGGTTTAGGGTTTAGGGTTTAGGGTTTAGGGTTTAGGGTTTAGGGTTTAGGGTTTAGGGTTTAGGGTTTAGGGTTTAGGGTTTAGGGTTTAGGGTTTAGGGTTTAGGGTTTAGGGTTTAGGGTTTAGGGTTTAGGGTTTAGGGTTTAGGGTTTAGGGTTTAGGGTTTAGGGTTTAGGGTTTAGGGTTTAGGGTTTAGGGTTTAGGGTTTAGGGTTTAGGGTTTAGGGTTTAGGGTTTAGGGTTTAGGGTTTAGGGTTTAGGGTTTAGGGTTTAGGGTTTAGGGTTTAGGGTTTAGGGTTTAGGGTTTAGGGTTTAGGGTTTAGGGTTTAGGGTTTAGGGTTTAGGGTTTAGGGTTTAGGGTTTAGGGTTTAGGGTTTAGGGTTTAGGGTTTAGGGTTTAGGGTTTAGGGTTTAGGGTTTAGGGTTTAGGGTTTAGGGTTTAGGGTTTAGGGTTTAGGGTTTAGGGTTTAGGGTTTAGGGTTTAGGGTTTAGGGTTTAGGGTTTAGGGTTTAGGGTTTAGGGTTTAGGGTTTAGGGTTTAGGGTTTAGGGTTTAGGGTTTAGGGTTTAGGGTTTAGGGTTTAGGGTTTAGGGTTTAGGGTTTAGGGTTTAGGGTTTAGGGTTTAGGGTTTAGGGTTTAGGGTTTAGGGTTTAGGGTTTAGGGTTTAGGGTTTAGGGTTTAGGG